AATAGTGACGGGTGCATAGGGTAAAAAAAGTTTGAGAGCCACTGTTCCAGTCACACTTTTACATTCAGGAAAACACTTTGAACTAAACAAATCAAAGTTCATGACAATATGAAGGCCCAGCAAGCTTTTATTTTTAACATAAGTCTTTAAACTACTTTAAGAGTACTGAGTATAGATTTTGCTGGTATTTTAAGGAGAAAAATTACTCAGAAACATTATCTTAGCAAAAATTAAAACTTTCAATTAAATGGGATCTGCTTATAATTTTTCAAACAAATTATCCAGATTTAGTGCTATTTATCAGGGTGCATATTCCAAATTTTTATACGTTGTTTTCTCATGTAAAGGAAAAATTTTCATTCAGCAATATTTATTCGTCTGACTACAATCATATTTGCTTTTTAGATGACTTAAAAATATTACTACAAAACTGACAAATTTCCTTAATAATTTTGGTCTTGGAATATGAAATGATTTTAATAATTGTTTCTCTGACTTGCCAAAATACTTATTATTAAACCTTTCCACAGTTTTATAGCAAACATTATATAAAATGATTCTAATATGTTTAAATCCTTCTTCCCCCTCTCCTAAAATTCAAGTAGCTATATCAAACTGCAATCCAATATTGATTAAAAAAAAAAGAGAAAATATATTAAAACAGCATCTTCGTTTAAAAAAATTTAGGACAGTCATCAGTGCTCTTAAAATAACTGATAACAGCAGCCAAATTTTCTATTAGTTTAGAGACCTATATAGACTATATATGTAGCCCATTTTTACTAGGTTAAAGCTCGATTTAATAAAAACCATCTTGTTGACATGTACTGCAAAATTTCGCTCCATTTCAAATATACAAGTTCAAAGAAAGACTGAAGTTGGTATCTTCCCTCTACAGACAAGGAAACATAGTTATGTATGTTTAATATTATGGTTTCAACACCAATATCTCTTGAAGCAAATTTCAGAGTATTACTTAATATATGATTTAAGCAGTTGACTTTCACAATTTTATTATTTTTGCTCTTGATCAACTTATTTACTGAACATTTCTTTTTGAAACTGATATTTGCATTATCAGCCCTATTTGATAAAATATACCTAAAATTCAGTAAATGGTTTCCCACATCTTGCATCACAATATAAGAAACTGTAGATGCAGTTTAATCAGAGCTTTGTAGGCAACTTAACATTTGCTTTTTACTGCTCTGTTAGGATCAAAATATTTTTCATTACCTTTATATAAAACATTAGTGGCAGAAGAAAAAAAAAATTTTTTTTCTGATAATCTCTCACACTCAGAGGTGTAAGAGCATTTTTTATAAGCATGTTAGACTTACTTTTACCATTCGATAAGTTGGATGCAATTTCTGATCGATATCAGAAAATGATGTGATAATTTATTTCCACAATCTAAACAGGTATAACTTTGGCTGGGTTTAATGCAATAATACCTTACTTTTCATTCATAAGCTGTAACATCATTATATTAGCGACACTTATCAGGATTCAGAAATAGCAGACAATTTATTGCTGCTTGCTTTTTCATAAATACTGGATAATTTATTTCATGCTACTTATGCTTTTTATACTGACTGTGCTGTTTTAAATTCCTCCCTCAGAACTACTAAAATGCTTTTTGGCACAACTTGCAATAAGTATAACTTACTGGTGCAACCTATTTGTAAATTTCTTCCAATTTCTGTCTTTTTTTTTTTTTTTTTTAAGATACATTTATCGGTATTGCTAATTTTAATTATTTTCTGTTGGAATAAAGCATGATGAATTGGATTTCATTAATTAATTTTTTTAAAACTGAAATTAAAATTTGTAAAAGAAAATGGCAAGTGAGCAAATGGACACTTCACGAATTTAAAAAAAAAAAAAAAAAAGTTAGAATCTAAAAATGAGAATTTCTTTGAAGTGCATATTCCTAATATGAGAAACTTAGCTGAAAATTATTGATTTCAGAAATTTCCTTTAAAGAAGCAAATATACAAATTTTATTTTTACTTATAAAAAAAGGATGAAATAATATTAAAGACTAGAAAATTATGCATTCGCTAGAATTAGCAAAGAAAAAGTGTAACTTACAAGGAAAACACTGCACTTAGTAACTCCTCTTGCATAGATAAACAAACATAAGCAAAGATGTGGATTTGTTATTTCCAGCTGCTTCACCAGCTCTTGACCACAGTCAGTTCACATTTAACATTTAAGTCTCATAAATGAGTTTCTTGAGGTAATTCAACAGGAAAAATTCAATAAAGAACAAGAGAGTCAATTGTGGTAATCAGGTGAGAAATCTAATATGACTAATCGATCGCACTGGAAGGATTCTCTTAAGATATTACATCTGTGTTAAATCATGGATGCCTCATTGTACTGAAAACATATGGTAGTTAATAACTGTAGGAATATCATACAGCTCAATTGGCAAGACCTATTTCTGAAATATCTCGTAAATCTAGTCTTGAGTTTTGATGCAAGAAGCCACTAGTCAAACAATCTTCAGCTATGTCCACCCAAATACAGATGTTGATCCACTGTTGCACAATGCAAGAAAACAGCGGTGGCATACACACAACATTGTGAACATTAAAAACATATTTATGTAAGAAGGTGACTTTGTCAGTGAAGGGAACAGACAATGAAACACTGCTATATAAGCAGCATGTGAATTTCACATATTATCTGTAATCTCCAGCCTCCATTACATACACTGCATGTAAAAGAGGGAATTCTGAATATAATTAAAATATGAACATGGTTTTGACATAAGATTATACATATAATAATGATCTGGACATGCACCAATAATGTGGCCTAAGATGTTTATTTAATATCACATTTGCTACAAAAGGCACACACACAGTTTGTATCCCATTTTTCAGAAATATACAAACATAATTCAAATCTTAAAAATGATTCTTCTACTCTCAGTTGTCCTAAAAAAACAAGCTGAGTTTCATATACCATATATTATGTTTAAGTGCCTTTTTGTTGTTATTACATTTTATTATTTGAAAACATTACACACATACACACCCATGCAACATTTTTCAATTATTTAATAAATATAATTGTTTAACTGTTTAAAAATTGTATCTTAACCCTTTGACGGGTGCGATATTATTTTTATAATTTTTTTAACTAAAAACTCTAGAAACTGAATGTTATGATCCTGGAGACAAATAATATATGAATTTTAAAAAATCTACTCTTGCCCATTGTTCTGTGGGTGGTGGTCGCACTGTGAAACCACCACACGTCTAGCACTTTGAAACTTACCGAGGTAAGTAGAGAAAAAAAACTTACCTTGCTCCGTGCGCGTTTCCAATAAATGATGAAATTTACGAATTTAAAACAAAATACATGTAGGAATTGCATAATATATATATTTTTTACATTATTTTACAAAGTAAATCGCCAGAAAAAATTAAAAAATAAACATTTATGCAATTTTTCTATAGCAGTGAATGTACCTACATAATAAGGACGTTTGGCTACATGGATTAAAACACTCAGTAAAATAAGGATAAAAAAAAAGACTCAGTGTTTGTTTTTTTTTAATTTCAAAGAACAAATATTTTTTGTGACACTGTTCAAAGCATGTTTTGTCTTTCTGGTACATGCATGCTCACATTGCATGTTTCGCCACATGTAACTTCTTCTATGAAGTTTCTTCCTTGTGCTACAAAATGTACACTGATTGGATCTAAATTTCACTGGCATATGTCCAGCGTTTAGTTTCTTTTCATCTGGCACATGAAATTTGTGGTCTTTTTATGTTAATGAGGAGAGGCTTGGTCTTTTTGGCTTTGATACAGATCATTCGTTTCCATTCATACTTATTTTATTCGTATTTCTTCCCAAAATATTCAGAAAATATTTTAAATTTAAATAAAACTTTACGCGATTTCTATTTTTAATTAACACAAAGTATATTTACATTAAATTTAAACCACAGGAAATAATTTATAAAATCACAATACTAGCTTGGGGAGCAAGTGCGTTGAGGTCAGAGAAAAGTCTCTGGAAAAGAAAGACCTTTTTACTGGGCAGGTGCATGTATTGTTTAGTAATAAAATAACTGTGATTTCAAAACCCCTTATCTATATCCGGGTAAAAATAAACATTCCTATTTGAGAAGCAAGCAAACGTCATTGTGAAGAGCAGCGGTTTCAAGGCACGACCACCGAGCCTCTAGAGCAATGTGACACAATGCTCTAAGTGGTGCAGTGGTCGCGCCCTGAAACCACAAAGCAAATGCCATACACATAGAAGGGTTTTTTATATATGCAGTTTAATTATTGCTATCTTTTATTGTTTATAATAGAAATCATGATGTGCGATGAATAACTTTTGAAATTTAAAGTTGCTTATATTAATAAAAGAAAGTTATTTTGTCTCATTGAAAACGAATTTTAAAAGGCATCCGATTTGAAGTACCAAGACCTAAAACATGTATGATTCTGCAGTCGTTTTGTGTTATTTAGAGGTAAAAGATCAGTAATCAACTGATTTTCACTCAAAAATTTTCGAAGGAAGAGGAGAAAAAAATTCGAAAATTGGTGGTTTCAGGGCGCGACCACCTCGCGTCAAAGGGTTAAGCCTAATACAAAAACTCCATTTTTTCTGGAAACTATTTAGTATGTTGTAGAATACTGTGGAAGCAGTGTGTGTAAAGATATTTTGATAAATATATTAAATAACAAAATTCAAATACATAAACTACTATGTTCTATTAATTTCTACTAAGCACTGACTGTTTGATTCTCCACACTAAATATATAGTATTTACTGGACCTAACTTCTAAGGAATTTTGAATCAGCCAATTTAACTTGAGAAAATAAAACATAAGTTTATAAAATTTTTATTATATTAAATTTTTAAATTATAAATTATTATGTACTTATATATATATATATTATATGTATAGATACATACTGTATATATGCATTAAGATATAAAAATAATTCATTCAAAAATCTCTTACCAACTCGACGAGGAATATATGGAGCAAGCAAACGTGCTGTATCATGTCCACTACTTCTTAAAGCTTCAGCTATGACAGCACTATCAAATAACATAGCTTCATCTATATTGTCAGGAGTTGAGCTAAACAAGCCAAATGTTAAATTCTCATCTGGGAGCAACTGACGACCTTTTTCTAAACGAGCTTTCACAACCTGAAATTTTATATTATTCTAGTTCCCACATTTTGTGATATGAATTACAATTTTTTTTATAAAATAACAAGTACTACTGCACACATTACTATGCATACAAATAATAACCAAACTAGGCAATATGTAAATACATTTCATCTGTTTTGATAAGGTATAATTTATACAAATTAGGTTTTAAAAATCATGAAAATCAAATAGATATTACATCAAATAGAAATACAATCAAGTAGTAAGCTCAGAAGTGCTAATTGAAGCACAGACTTGTTCTGAAGGTCTTAAATGTGTCCTACACTTCTTACAACTAACATATCCTACAGAGAGTAATAAAAGGCACAAATTTTCCAAAATGAGTCTTAACACAGTATCTATACTAGGTTGACTGGAGCACTGAGTTATTCAAAGTATTTTTCATTTTTATATATAATATTTTTGCATATTTTTATCTAGTTACAATGAAAAATGATCCAGAGGTATTCATACAAATTACACTTTCAGGAAAGTTATTCATTCCACCTGAATTATTTAGTGATAAATTTAAACAGAAATAAAATCAAAACTGTGATCAACTGATAACAGTTGCTAAAAACTGTAATTCTCAATTATGTGACAAAACCTAACAGAAATCCTTAAATATGTTTAGTATAATGGATTAAAAAAAAAAAGGAATGCACCAAAGATGAAAATACTTCTTGGTTTAAGCTTAAACATTTCTAAATTTAAAGTAATATGTATCTAGAAAGAGGACAATAACTCACTGTAACTTTCAATGCCCCACAAATTAATGTGGTCTCGCAAAGGGGGGAGAAGATATGGCTTTATGCTTAATTAAAAAATAACAATAATAAATTTTTAATTAAGAATTCAAATTCATTGGGCATTTAACAATTTAAATACTAAACTTTTATTCTAAAATGGTGATTTAATATTTTAAATGTTAATTATTTAATAGTAAATTATAAAATCACTGATCATTTAAAGTATAAAGTAATCACTGATCATTTAAAGTATAAAGTTAGAAAACCTTTTTCAAAGCTACTGGTTGAAATAAGCAGAACGAATAAATGAATGAAATAATTCAGTGCACACACTCTTCTCACGAATTCTTCATAGGCAAGACAGACAGATTACTTATTCAACTGTGAAGGTTTTGAATTTCAGTGATAAAGACATTTTAATGTCCAAGCTGTAAAATTAAATTCACATGATCCATCTTGTCAAGCAAGTATACATGAATTTCCAAGCTTTTAAATTTTTTAATCTTATAGAATCATAAAATTCTTTGAATACCATTTGAGGAATACTGCTGTTAAGAAATTATTAACATACTGCTTTTATCTGACACTTTTAATATGTTGATGTGAAATACAAGCTTTGCAATATAAATACAACAGAAATTTCTTTACCTCATGCAAATAAAGTAGAATTCTGACACTCCAGGAGTATTAAATTCAGAAATATCTATAACCTGCATTCAATTTTAAATATAAAGAAACAAAATTTCATTTTTTCAGGAAATTCAGCATGGCAAACTTAATAGCAACTTTTTCTTAAATGCATGGGCTAACAAATTTTAAACAAATGTATATTACATTTATAATATACCTAGAAAGAAGAAGTGAATTTATCATTTTTTATCATTAATTTCTTTTATCATTAATGCTATTCAGCATTTTTTGCACTTGCATCCTCACTCTCTTTTCACAATATATGCAGACAGCAAATTTCAGAAAAATTTTTACTTTAGATAATTTTCTATTTCTGATGCATATTCTGCTGTTTCTTAATATTCCCAAAGGGCATTAACCCAGAAGAGCTATTAATTTCATTTCGACATTTTGCATCGAATCACTATAAATAGCGTATTACCTTTCAAATTGTGGCCACCAAATGTTAGAGCCCTGCATTATATTTAAAGAAATTAAATAATGAAGAATCTGCATAAATGTATGTGTGTTTCTCATATTGTGATAAAACAACGGTACCTAGAGCCATTAAATTTTGAATAACATAATCCTCCACCTGAATATCCTTAAATATAAAAAAAAGTGGCATCTGGAAGCTATAATTTGGAATTTGCTTTATTATCTATTTCATATTTTGTAAAACTTTAACGAATTTTTCATTAAACTCAATGATTTCAAAGCGAGCAATGGCGACACTGTATGGGGAAAAAAAAAAAAAAAAAAACATTATTATCTATGAGATTGTGTATTGGAAATTCTAAAGATACACTCTTTTTAAATTATTTTACGATATTGTTGTTGAACTGAATTCTATAGTTTAAGTGCAAAGAACATGATATTAAATAAAGGTAATACATAAAATGAAAAAAAAAAAAAAAAAAAAAAAAAAAAAAAAAAAAAAGCTTTTTGGCTGTAATATAAAATCTGAAAACTTTCTGATTTTTTTTTTTTTTTTTTAAGATGGTTAATTTAAAATTGTTTAAAATCGTGTGGCATATATGAAGGATTTATTTGTCCCCAATGTTTCAAATGTTGGAATTGAAACCTAAATGAACTTCGTTATTTGTTTCTTTATGCATAAATTTGGGTGACAAATAGGGAGATATTCTTGACAATAGCAGTTATAGAGATTTTTCTGGTGTTAAAAACAGAAAACATATTAAAGAAAATTAGGCTAAAGAACAGATCTAAAGGATTATGATCTAAAGGGTATCAAAATTTACAAAAAAAAAAAGCTTAATATTTATTTGTTTACTTTATTAAACATTTCTTTCAATGTAAGTTGTTAAGTTGCTTCGTTTTATGTGATAATACTTTCTCTTTATTTCTATAAACAGACATATTTTCTTGTTCAGTTACAGAGTTTCCGCTGTTCAAGTCCCGTTAATTGCTGTGCCGAGAATACCGACTAACTTATCAATCGAAATTTTTCGTTTTCACTAACCTCTCGTCACATTCTTCATGTCTTTATCCATTTTTTTGCAGCAATTCCACTTTTTTTTTTGATGGACTCAAACATACTTTCGTTTTGTACGATCCTTTGGGAGCTCCAGAATCGGAAATTCTATTTGACATAATCGAAAGTTCAGCTTACTTTTTATAAATTGCTCTTACAGTCTGCAAAAAAATAATAATCCGGTTCCAATTCGAAGATTAAGGAACAACGCATCTGCAACATTAACTGAAATAGATAATTAGATATGTTAGCTTAGCTTATCTTGTCCGTTATACATTAAACGCGCATTTGTAAACGTATTTTGCGCACGCGCACACGCAAATTCGCAGCGGTAAAGGTCTTACGCGCATGCGTCAACGCGACGCATGCGCAGAAAGTTTGTAGCTTTGAGATCCGGATTATGGGTGTCCGAATAATGGCAATTATATTATTTAATAAAGTTTATTGACAACAAGAAAAATTTGTATTTTGTTTTATTCCAAAAATGGACAGACCTTTCCGGTAGACAGAATAATTATTTACTTTAATTTAAGCTAACATGCATATTAAAGCTCCTAAGCTAATTAAGAAAACTTAAATGCATATAAAAAAAATAAAAGACAAAATAAAATTCACTAGAAATGCTTTTTGAATGATGCATTACAGTTCATACAGTCATTTAATTTGGCAAACATAAAAATAGAGATAAATGCTTAATTATAACATAAAATATGAATGTAATAATGTGTATATGCAAAAACTAATATTTTGCAATTATAAGCCATTATTCTTTTTTCTTCTGTATAATACTGCCAAACTGCACTGGATGTGCAAAGTACTAATTATTTTCACAACAGATACAAGAAGCATAAAGAAAATTTCATTAAATAAACAATATAATTACAATGTCTACGATGAAAATTTTCCAAAATTTCATTAACATTTATTTCTTTACCTACTAGAAAGCTACAAAAATGTTTCCAAGTTTTTTTTTTTTTTTTTTTTTTTTAAATCCTCATATAGGGGCTATTTAAAAAAAAGTTAACATAGCCTTTAGGTATCTAAAAAAGGAGGCCAACAGTAAAATAAAATATTTTACCTGATCAACATGAGCACAAAAAGAAGGAATTGCAGTAAGGTGGCCTAGGAAGTATAAGAAACCAGCAACTAATATATGCATTGCACACTGCTGCCCAGATGACAATGAGCTCGATTTTGCTGGCAGTTCCTAAAAAATAAACAAAACTAAAAAAGAGATTCTTAATATCTTTTAGGACCAAGGCCACTTTGCATACAATACTTTGATCTTCAAATTAATCTCAGGTCTTATTATTATTTTTTAAATTGTTCCCATCATTCTCATAACTTGTATATTATAAAAATAAATAATAATATAAGTTATTGTACAAATAAAAGTCTCAATGCTTACAGAGTTAATTGTAAAAGTACCACATCTAAAATTATATGAGAATATTAACACAGTAGAACCTCAATCTATAGTTTCCACAATAATCATTTTTCTGTGTTTATCATTCAATATTTCTGGTAAAGAACAAAATCATAAAAATAACCCTATTTATTTCTCTCTCCATCATCTCTTGGACTATTGTTTTATTACATAAATCATTCAAAAATCATGCTCCAGGTACACTATATCCTGTATAGACTGTTTTTTTAATATTACGTGAAATATATAATTATTTTTTGCATTACCACCCATTTAGATTTGGCAATAAAATAATGTAGCAATGCTCTTGATATAGTTCTCACATCCATGTCTGTATTATTAGTGTCATTTACAAATTTTATTAATTTGCAATTAAATTTATTCCTGTTATTTTTCATGAGTTCTATGTTAGTTTTAAGTCTGAATCTAAAAGAAGTGTGTAGAAAGAAGATATATGGTAGCAAACTTCACTACCATTAATAAAACTTAAAACACCTCCTTATTTTATGAATGGAAGCTAAGCAAATAGTGAAAATACATTAAATCTCCAAAAGTTATATTTTCAATAGAAATAAAAGATAAAAAGTAAGGCTTTTCTTAAAAACTGTTTTTTAATGTCATGTGTTCAAGTCGAAAGCAAAAAAAATTATTTACTTATGACAAGTTCAAGTCGAAAGCAGAAAATGTTATTTACTCGTAACATGTTGTTTATTTATAACAGGTAATAATTTCTCGGCTTAATTGTTTTCCCATATTCATCATTTCCCTCCTCCCTCCCATTGAAAAACATTTGTAAGCCATTTGAAAATATTAACTGTAATATTAAAGCACTGGTGGTTTCTTGATCCCATCCATATGAAAAGATACTATTTATCTATTGTTAAGTCACTAAAATTTTGAAACTGCTAGAATATGTTATGGCTAGATTATTCTTTAAATTATATAAATGCTAATTCACTTGTTTTGTTATATTTGACCAAAGAAATTCATCATTCAATCACTTGTTTAAAAACCTTGGTCATTAATAATAATTTGAACAGAAATTTCTTACTCGATAAGTGCTCATATATAAAAATTCCATTTATAATATTTCATATTTAAAAGTCAAAGTACAGACATAAAATAGAAAAAACATGGCACTACAGAAACTTACCTGAATAGCAAATATTATACGGAGTAATTCAATGAGAACTTCACTATCAGTACCGAATTCAACACATATTAGAGCTAATGTGGTGTAAATAGCTTCAAAATTTTCAGCAGTATTATTGGCAATTTGCACATTTTCATACATATGCATCAATATGTCTGGTCCATTCTTTTTGAAGAACATAATATCTTGCCTTGAGCATTTTTCAATCTTAATATCAGGAAGAGGACCTACAACACTTTAAAATATTTTATGATATACTATAAATCAGTCCCTAAAAACTTTGTAGATGTGAGTAACTATTTAGAAAATGCATTACATTAATTAAATAGAACATTTAGAGAGATATCTTTCACTGATACTGAATGAATATATTCTGAAATTTACACCTGTATATAGACATAGAATAGGATTTTCCTATATGAATACACGAGACACCACATTTTGTTTTAGATCTGACCAAGAAAATTACAAATATTTCCTATAAGTTCTGTTCCTGAAGAATCTTTTATTTTCAACAATAATTTTGATTATACATTTGTAAGCCATTATGTTTAGTGGTAAATATTGTTATGTTTTTTCTGACACCAGTTGTTACGTTATTTTCTTCCTTCACGTTCTTACGAGGTTCGTGTGGATTTGGAGTGAATAATGACAACACTTATTGATGAAGTATTGGAACACACTTTATTTAGTCAATAATAATCAGGACAGCTCCAAAGTCACTTTTTACAGTCGTCGAAGATCTACTATAAACTTTCTAGAACAATTAGTGACACAGCCTTCACACTATCAGGCTATAATGGTGGAGACAGCTTCACAGCAAAGCACCAGAGTACAGCTCCCAATTCTGCTTGGTCGTTCTCAGAATCCCATGTACTCTCAAGATTCTCCACGCTACAACTCGCGATGCACTCGACAACAAACACAAACACAGCTCCTGACTCTTTGGTTCAGTCGTTCCCAGAGCTTAACAAACTCTCTCAACGATGCACTAACCGCGATACATGAAGAGACTAGATTCTTTTGATGCACTCGATGACCCACTTGACACTCGCTGTCGGCTGTCAACTCGATCGTCTCCTCACGGACAGACTAACTCGACACACTATCTATCTCACACTTACGGGCAGGGTTTATATAGCTTTCGGCTTGTGTTTGAGAACATTCTGGGCTAAACTGGTAAGAATTCGTTCCAGAAGGTTCTCCATCCGTCCATGATATATCAACAATTTTGTCCCCAAATGAGCAATTTCTTGCCAAATGTGACATCCTTGCCTTCCCTTGCCATTTTATGGCAACTGTAAAACTGTTTTGCCGAGAAGCTATCTTACCACGCCTGGACATTTCGTAACACTGCCCCCTCCCAAGGACTGCGCGTCCCAGGCGGTACAACCCTTGGTCAGAAGCCAAATTCAAAACAAACAAAACATAATAAAACAAACAACATAACTAAAGAAACAAACATCTGCACTATTTACAAGTTCTATACACAAATTAACATATAACAATTTTAAATTATACAAATTAAAGTTCTGAATGAATTTCAGTCTCAGTCTTTTCATTAAGTTATACCCGGGTCAAATACTTTACCACTGCAGTTCTCAGACACATTTCTGTTTTACATATCACAGTCTGAAGATTCAGTTCTTTCTGGCTTTTCATCCACAGGAAAATCTAAAACGATTCGTACACTACTCTGTAGTTTATTCCCATCATGTATACAGTTCACTTTGGTATTTTCAGCCGCTGGTACATGTCCATTTACCTCCACTTTCTGGGAACCAGTTCCGATGTTTGCACCAGGGTCGCAAATATAATCCGATTCTTTACAAGCAGAAGTATCCGGGTTTAGAATCAAGTCCTTGTCTGCAAAATCACAGCAAAGCACCAGAGTACAGCTCCCAATTCTGCTTGGTCATTCTCAGAATCCCATGTACTCTCAAGATTCTCCACGCTACAATTCGCGATGCACTCGACGACAAACACAAAACACAGCTCCTGACTCTTTGGTTCAGTCGTTCCCAGAGCTTAACAAACTCTCTCAACGATGCACTAACCATGATACATGAAGAGACTAGATTCTTTTGATGCACTCGATGACCCACTTGACACTTGCTGTCGGCTGTCAACTCGATCGTCTCCTCACGGACAGACTAACTCGAGACACTAACTATCTCACACTTACGGGCAGGGTTTATATAGCTTTCGGCTTGCGTTTGAGAACATTCTGGGCTAAACTGGTAAGAATTCGTTCCAGAAGGTTCTCCATCCGTCCATGATATATCAACAATTTTGTCTCCAAATGAGCAATTTCTTGCCAAATGTGACATCCTTGCCTTCCCTTGCCATTTTATGGCAACTCTAAAACTGCTTTGCCGAGAAGCTATCTTACCACGCCTGGACATTTCGTAACACTGCCCCCCCCCAAGGACTGCGCGTCCCAGGCAGTACAACTGCACTATGAGATTCACACATAGTTTGCAAAGTGGGCGAATTTTCTTGCAATACTGAAGCGTACTGCTTAAGCTGTATATCAGCTTTTTCCATCTGTGCATCACATGCACTTTCAGATGGTTCAATTCTTGCTAACTGCGACTTCGCAACTTCGCTATCAGTTTCGAAGAACTTAACAGTCGCATTTTCACTTTCTTCTATCTCTACTTCAGGCAGGTGAGAATCAGAATCTTCCTTCCAGTCTTTTATCTCTTCATCTTTTTTATTCTGTCTTTAATCTCGTTAGAAGGTTCATCCTTCATTTCTTGATTTTCTCAGATACTTCATTAGCTACCTCATTCATTTTTTCATCCTTTGATTCTTCAGATGCCACTTCCGTCATTTCCGCATCTTCTTTTATGACTCGAGTTTCTTCTGCAAGCTCCACTTTCATCTCTTGGAGTTGCTCTGGCACCTTTTCTCGGTTGACTTTCATCTCTTCCAGTCCGGCTTTCATATCAGCTGTCAGCTCTTCATATCCAGCTTTTATCTCAGCATATCTGGCTTTCAACTCCTTCTGTCTGGCTTTCATCTCTTTCAGTTCAGCTTTTATCTCAGCTTTCATCTCCTCTTGCCCGGCTCTGATCTCGGCTAAGAAGTCCATTAAAGTCTTCATTTCCTCCGCCATGGATTTCCTCTGCTGGCGGGTCACTGGCATTCACTCGCAAATCCCATTCCTGACACCAGTTGTTACATTATTTTCTTCCTTCACTTTCTTAGGGGGTTCATACAGCAGGTTTTTATATAGCTTTCGGCTTGTGTTCGAGAAACTGGTAAGAATTCGTTCCAAAAAGTTCTCCATCCGTACATAGTATATTGCCAATTTTATTGCAAAATGTGAGAACCCTGCCTTCCCTTGCCATTTTATGGTAACCCTAAAACTGCTTTGCAGAGAAGCTATCTTACTGCGCTTGGACATTTCGTAACAATATTTTAAGGTAAGTCTAGTTTTTTAGACTTCAAGAGTTTTCTAGCATTTTAGGGTTTCATTTTCTTTTAAAATGTGTTTCTATTTTATATTCGTACATAAATGTTTCTCAAGCTTGACACTTTGAAATTCACTGGGAAAAAATCAAAATGACAATCTATGAAAATAATCTTAAATTAAATGTTACAACTCAGGAATTTATACACTTTAAAAATCTTATTACATAGTTTCCTGTAACTTTCAGTCTTTTGGTTGCCTAAGATGTTTTTAATCAAATTTTTAAAGAACTACCACAATAAAATCTAAGCACATTCAATACATCTTTAAATTAAAAATCACTAATTGGTTTCATTACTTTAGGACTAATTACTGGGTTCTTAAATTTAGAAGTGTATTAGAAAATGAAAACCCTTTCTTTTTCTTACCCATTGCCATCACAGAATTTTTCATCAGACCTAATTTGATGACAAAAGGTAAAGTATATTTCTTGTAGATGTAAATTAAAAGAAAAAAAAAAAAAAAAAAACTTGGAGTTGATGCATTTATTAAGTCAGATTTTTTATATTTCTCAATTCTTTTACATGTGCAGCAAAAGTAAGTAATACTAATGAATATGCATTTCTGTCAAGAGGCAGGGTTGCTTTTAAATTTGGTTTTGAAAACATTTGATTTCTGAGGTGGGGGATTAAATGTTTTAATTCTTGCTGCTTTTATGCCTTGTTCAAAATTTTTATGTCAATATCTCAGTTAAACATTTTTGTAAATTAAGATCACAAACAGAATAATTTAATTCTTCATGATTTATAATGTGGTGCTCAGAAGAATCTTTAAGAAATGAGGAATTCTGATGCAAGATAAAATATTGCAAGATTGAGAATGTCAGGGAAACTGACCTCTGACATAGAATAACAAAATCAACGAGAAGTTTAATTGCAAAAAATTGAAGACAAACAAAGAAATTTGACTTCATAATCAAAATCAGCACTGCAGAATACATATGAATGGTAACATATCTTTTAATAACAATGTTTGTCAGAGTTATTTTCAGGGCATTCTGATATTAAACAATTGTTTTAAAAATGCATTAATTTCCTATTTATGAACTATAATTTTTACTAATAATTATATGACACTGATTCTCACACAAATCTATGAAGTTAAGACAATGAATAAAACAAAAACTATTAATTTTATACGTATATCACTATAAATTCTTCAATATACTATAGCATGAATTTCCCTCTCAATTTCATTTATTCAAACTACTTGTGAAAACATAATTACTAATTTAATCACATAAAATTATGTAAGATAACTAATATATGAAGAATATACTTACCAAACTTTTGTGAGACTAGGTAAGTAATTATGCCGATCAAGCAAGGTATGGAGAATTTGCTGAACAACAAGTCTAACAGCAGTATCAGATGCTAAAGACATTTGCAATAATGGTTGCAAAAAGGCTGAAGGAAAAGCCTGAGACATTTGAACAGTTCGATATTTTGTTCCAACCTACATTTGTAAGTTAATCAAATATAAAAACCAAGTAAAACATAAATACTATTTATTGAAATGCAAAGCACAAATTAAGGACCAAAAATTAAAAATATATTCTTATCATTCTATAAAAACAATATATATATAATTATTTTCTTTCTAAACAGAATATTTTTGTGAAAAGATTCAGATTAATTAATTTTTGTTTGGCTTAGCAATACGTAAATGCTCTGTAAAGTTTGTTTTCTTTTAAATTGTAAAATTATTTCTGCTAAATTTTATGCTTAACTATTGTAATATTTGTAATATGTATCTTATTTGTAACATTTGTTAAAGATTTGATATTATTTCAGTTCTTATATTCAGTTCTCAGTAACAGACTGATTAAACACTTTTAAATGTTACCTTCAGCAAACTCTTTAGCAAAATTTTTTGAAGTAATACATCAGCTTCATGAGATTCATTAGTAGGAAGTGGCACTTTTCCCATAATAAACATCATAATTTCTATCTTTTGGAAATCAGGTAAGTTATTTGCAAATTCACCTAAAATATGAAAATACACATTTTATGCGAGTAACTTTCAAAAAGAAAAGACAATCATTTTTTATAAAGAATTAGACCATGAACTGTGCAAGCTTCTGCACCTAGTCTGATGGTTTGGGCAGCCATTGGGTACATGACATGCATGTCTCTAGTTCAGATCGACAGTTATTTGAACGCAGATGGGTACATTTCTGACATGTTACGTCCAATTGTTGTACCTTATTTTCAACGCTCACAAACACCATGTCCCAAGAGATAATGCAACACCACATGCTGCACATCGTGTTCTGACCTTCCTAGATGCACAGAGTATTCGATCACTGCTCTGGCCTGCACGGTCTCCAGATCTGTCACCCATTGAAAACATCTGGTCATGGGTCGCTAAGAGAATAGCCCGCCACCTCTTTCCAGCTAATAGGGTTAATGAAGTGTGGCATAGATTTGAAGCAGCATGGAATGAGTTGCCCATTTCTGTCATCCAATCCCAGTTTGATTTTATGCCTAATGGGGTAAGGGCTGTTTTATCTGCCAGGGCTGGCAGCTGTTTCTACTAATTTTGCACCCGTGTAAACCTCCAAAATGTTTACAAATTTAATAATTTTGTCTTCATGCCATACTGTTTACGTGAAATAAATACCTTTTTTGTATTTGTCTTACTTCATGGTATTGCAATTTCAATGGCTAGCAGTGTATTTGTTCTCCGAGTGCTCAGGTTCGAGAAAGTTCTGAGGAACATAAATCTAGAAAAAGGGTAACATTAAAAGAAATTTTGGATATTGATCTGACTAGTGCTGTAAAAGATGAACTGTTGCGTCTACTAGATGAATTAAGTGACATTTTCGACTTTAATTCAAGGAAATCCTGATGCAATGCAGTGAAGCACAAGATCAATACAGGTGACAGCATACCAATCAAGCAAAGGCCATACCGTGTATCAGCCACTGAGAGATGCGTGATTGCACAGGAAGTGTATTGAATGCTAAAAAAAGTTGTGATATAACTGTCAGACAGTCCATGGTCATCTCCAGCGAAGCTTGTGAAGAAGAAAAATGGCAAATGGCATTTTGTGTCAATTATAGAAGACTGAACAAGGTAACTTAAAAGGATACTGGCAAATACAGCTTGATAATTTAGACAGAGAGAAGACAGCCTTTGTGATATTAGATTATTTCTATGAATTTAAAGTCCTGCCATTAAGATTATGCAATTATGCTGTGCCAAAGCCACATCCAAATAGATGATGGAGGCAGTACTAACAGGTCTCAAGTGGAATACAGTACAAAGTTTGAAATTGGGATGTCCATTATTCGGAATGATCTAAAATCCGGACCTCAAAGCCACAAACATTTTTTTTATTAATGCTTTATGCATGCGCTTTCTGATTTTTCCTTCCATAATAAAACATGTGGAGATTTTCACTTAGGCACTAAATAAAATACCTTGTTATGGAAAAATAATCATGTAAGCATAAATTTGTGAGATTAGTAATTTAGCTCTGTAGCTGAGTATCTACTTGGCATACATCTCAAACCGAAACATTCACCTATTTTTTATATCCCTGACGCCGACCTGGTGAGTCATTACTTATTATATTTTGCCTTCATCACCGCATGTTTATCAATGCATGACAGCTTCAGTAATAACTCATGCTGTGATGTCTAAACTTTTTTTATTAGTAATTGAATAACAAGAGTATGGCAACTTTTTATGCTAACATTACTCTTGGCGATGATTATAGATTTTTAAATGTTCTAAGAAATGTTGATGAGGAAAAATTCAAAAAAAAAAAATTCTTTTCATATGCTAAAAACAGATTTTGTTAATGAAACTCATAGGCCAAAAGATTACATTTAGTGTTATTTTTATTAAGAATAACTGATATGTTATTCACCATAAACCCAAAAGCGGCAGCAGAATATGGCCACACCAGATGACAGAATTTAGGGAAGACAAAATTTTTGGAATTTGGGGAAGCACCGACCGCCAAAATTAAGGAATGAGAAGTTTTTATGATTTAGGGAAAGTACTGTGATCCAAAGTTTAGCACAGTGAAAATTTAGAACTTAGGAAAGCACTTTGTAGCAGAATTTAGGACCTGTAGAGACTGCACCAGGCAGTATCGAGAACCAAGCTAGATAGAGCCTTAAGTATATGCGAGAGTTTATTTATTCAGAGCTCGGATTAGTTTGAAGCATGTGCAAGAAATAAATGTAGGTATAGTAAATATCTAAACTAATACAATTCAGGCTTAATTCAGTATGCAATAGGAGCAAGATAAAATGTAGCGAAACAACTTGGCTTTCGTCGCCAATCTTGTGATAAACAGCCAATAATGTATAATAACGGACACTATTAAGATGGGCTAAAAATATCTTCACAGATTCTAAGACATTTCAATTAATGTAGCAGACTGCGCTGCTTCCTGATCTTCTAATTTGATCCAGCTTATTATTTTTTGCAGACTGTTATTATTACGGCAATTTTATAAAAAGTAAGCTTGAACTTTTGATTATGTCGAAAAGAGTTTCCAAAGGACCTACAAAGCGAAACCATGTTTCGATGTCCATTAAACAAAACGTGGAATTGCTGCAAAAAATTGATAAAGGCATATCCATCTAAAAATTACGTGAGGAGTACGGCATTGGAAAGTCCACTGTATATGACACAAAAAGAACTTTTTGAATTTTTTGTGGAAGCATCTTAAGCAACTTACATTGAAAGAAATGTTTAATAAAGTAAACAAATAAATATTAAGCTTTTTTTTTTTTTTTTTGTAAATTTTGATACACTTTAGATCATAATTTTTCTTTATTTTATAAATTATGATTTCATATTTTTAATTGTGTAATTTCTGCATGCCATCTTACCAGATTTAAATTGATGATCTATTATCTAGAAAAATCCCAAATCCAGAATTGCCAGTCCCGACCAGTTTGCATTTCGAACTTTGTACTGTATTCGTCTTTGCCTTCTAGAACGACATAATCGTGTATACACCTAATTTCCAAGAACACCAAAAATGCTAGAGGGAAGTTCTAAAACGTATTCAAGAAATAGAGCTGATACTAATTAAAAAAAAAAAAAAAAGCTCATTCAGCAAAAAGAAGCTGACAATACTGCAACATCTAGTCAATCAACATAGGATCTATCCCAATCCTTAAAAGATAGAGGCTGTAAGGTAGTAACGAAGTTCTCTGTTTCAGGAAACACTGCTGAAATCTAAAGTTTTCTGGGCTTGTGCTCCTACTATCAACGATTTATCAAAAACTTCACTGATATTGCAAGTAAGAAGATCCAAAGAACGAAGTGGCCACTCTATCTTTAAATTTGAAAAAAAATAATAATAAACATTTTATAAGAACCTAAAAAGATCTCAAAAATGATTTTAATGAAATAACAGAGCACAAGGAAAGTTCTCCATTCCAATTACTCAATCTAGTTCTTATCGCTTTCTTATCTAATTTTACATGCTAACTAACAAAATCAGAAGTGTGAGTTGACATCTTACAATGCATATGCACAAATATATACTTGACTATACTAGTGATCAACCTAAGTCAAAAACAGTGGCTCTCAATCTGGTTTGCCTCGTGCAACCCTCTTTATCATTGCTAGAAGATCATTCCCTTCCCCTTTCCGAAACTCAAAAAATACACATGCATTTATTTCCGTTTGGTTTATTTTTTAATGTATTTTCTAAATTAAGCCACAAAAAGTATAGAAAATGATGATTAATAACAAAAATTGAATAAAAGTAGTTTTTTATATTCATAAACTAAAACTAAATACTTAATAGCTAAATAAAAAGGGATGTGATCCATTCTCCTCTAAACTATCCACTAATGAATATAGTTCTATTATTTGTAGCAGTTTTAATTTAGAAAATAAACAATGAAATATGAATACTGTTGAAATATAAAAACTAATCTGAAATGGGAGTTCAGGGAAAGAACATTTCACCTATAAAATTTTTATTTGAAAATGAAACAGCACAAATGTCAATAATTTGATGACCAAGTTTTTGGCACATTTGCCAAATTTTTTTAATTGAAAATACAAAATTTTGTTAAAAAAATTATATTTAGGAGGGACATTTCCCTTCACCCTCCATCGCAACCTGCAACAATAAGGACACCACAAAAGATCGATAAGGTCCTGTTCACATGATGCACTCAAAAGGATCTTTTCAGACAACAATTAAAAGCATTTACTCACCCCTGCTTTAGTGCATAGTCTTCTCTTTCAAAACGAGCGAATTTACTCAATACATTCAGAGTTAAGCATGAATTCAATATTGTTATTATTTTTAATTCAAATACAGTGATGAAATTTATGCCCAATGTTTTAAATTTATGACATACAAAGTAAAATAAAATATCATTTGCAACACTAATAAAATGTTTCATACCAATTAATAAGTCACACAAAGTATTTGAACTTACTCCTATACAGAAAATTTATTCAGATATTACAAGACACAAACTTTGCATGTTCATTCTACAAATCTAAATATCATTCTCATTTATTCACTTCAGATATAATTCACAATGATCACCATAATAGAATTTTTTGTTGTTTTATCAAATATTCATCTCACATTTAATAACATTAAAAATTTGTGCCTTGTTAGTCACGGCAAGGTCATAAAAAGAAAATTCATTTTGAAATTACTGCAGAATTCTATATGAATATAAAATTAAAATCAAGAAAACACACCTTTTTACTTCTTAAAAGAAGAAATATCCTTTGTATTTCTTCATGCTTTTTAAATATTAAACCAATTTTGGAACAAAATTTTTATATACACTGCTCGACATTGAAAATGCAACACCAAGAAGGAGTGGTGAAAAATTTATGCAAATTTTAGAGTAGACGCATGTCACCGAGTTACGCAAATGATGTCAAATGCAGCTCTCCGATGCATGTGAAGTAAGATATAAGGGAAGGAACATGCAGAATGGGCAATATTCGTGTCATTATTTCTGCCAGACGAATTATCGAAGAAAGTTGGGTTTTGTCCCGGAGGATACGTGTAATAGGAGAGAATGCCAGGCTGCTGTCAACGAAGGCACTTCCAGCAGATAGACGAATTTACGAGGGGTATGGTGATCGGACTGAGAAGGGCGAGTTGGTCCTTACGTTAAAATGCAGCTGATACCCACATGGATGGGAGCACGGTTCATTGGCTGTGGAGAACATGGTTGGAACAAGGAAATGTGGGAAGAAGGAGGGGTGCAGGTGCAACCAGAGTGATGTCAGCACACGTGGATCGACGCATCCGCCGACAAACTGTAGCAGTTCCGCAAGTCACTTGTACCGTGATTCTGCAGTAGTGCAAGATACTCTGGATGTTCCCATGTCAGCTAGAACCATTTCTCGTCGATTGGTTGAACGTGGCCTGCACTCACGGTGTCAGTTAAGAAGACTGCCATTGACCCCACAGCATAGACGCCAAAGTTTAGAATGGTGCTGGACTGGAGCGATGTGGATGACAGAATGGCAAAACGTCATGTTCTCAGATGAGTCACGCTTCTGTTTATCCAGTGACAGTCGTCGCATACGTGTGTGGGGTCGGCGTAGAGACATATCTAATCTGGCAGCAACCGTTGAACACCCCACCGTGCGATAACGTGGCATAATGGTTTGGGGCACTCTTGCCTACGATTCCAGGTCACTTACTTCTTATTCAGGGCATTATGACGGCCTGACAATACTTGGATAATGTACTGTGGCCGGTGGCAATCCTCTACCTTTAGGGACTGCCTAATGCAATTTTTCAGCAGGATAATGCTCGACCACACAGTGCTCGCATCTGCCAACATGCTCTGCAAGGTATACAGATGCTTCCCTGGCCACCATACTCTCCTGACCTGTCAACAATCGAACATGTGTGGGATGTGATTGGACGCCGTTTGCAGACTCTGCCCCTCCCTCGTTCAGAAGACAAACTGTGGCAAATGGTTGAAAGGGAATGGAGAGCCATCCCTCAGGACACCATTCGCACTCTTATTGACTCTATGCCTAGATGCGTTTCTTCGTGCATCGCCGTTCGCGGAGGTCCTACATCCTACTGAGCCGACGCCGTTCTCGCTCTGTATTCTGACTATCATTTTGAAATAAAGATCACTTATTGCTGCTTGCTGTCTATGTCTTTTTTCCAAATTTCATCACTTTCTGATCACTCCTTCTTGGTGTTACATTTTCAACGTCGAGCAGTGTATATTACAATGAAAAACAAAAATATTACTTATTTCACTCGGAAAAGTAAAAAATATTATGCTTGAAAAAATTATAGAGATTTTATAATAGTGATAAAATAATATATAATTTAGGGTACTTATGAATTATCCCATCAACTGTGAAATTGTCAGCAAGCAAAACAATTTAGTGCCAGTTATGGGTAAGGGTGATGTCAGACCAAATTTATAATATCTCTGCTTTCATCTGATCTAACCCCAATAAGCCAACTTTTTTTGGGGGGGGGAGAAGAGAGAACAAGGATATAAATTAATTGTCATTGCTGTATTTTTCCTTGAATTTTGCTAAAATTTGCGATCTGCTTTCTGCAGAACAGCAAACAGTGGATTATTTTCAAAGTTATAGCATCCTACCATAATTTAGAATAAAAATATTAATAGGCAGATATGATCAGCTGAACAGCTGACAAAACAATTATAGATAGGAAAAATTACTAGCAAAATGTTTGCACACTTAGCATATTCTAAACAGAGCTACCAATAAAATTGGATAACCTAACAAAATAATAAAAATAAAAGTTTGTAACAAAGTGCAAAAATTGAGTGAGTAGAAGACTGATTGTTTTTAAATAAACAGGCATTAGTTCCTTCAGAATTTCGCAGGAACGAATGGTGCAACTTTGGCAGTAGCTTCACCAACTTTCGTGGTCGATGGCCTAATGTCCTAATTTAGTAATTCTGAATTTCTTAATATATGTAAACTTTTCATGTTACTGGTTTGTAACAAATTTTCATTTTCAAAACTAGTCACTGAAATTTTATTCTGCCACATACTAATAATACCAATGATTTTCATCCTTTTAATTTTTAAAAGCACTTAGAAAAAGGGAAATGCAGAAAACGAAATCAATAAAATTTTAAATATCACAATTTTTTATAACTTTCCATTATTGTTTCAGAACATAGATATTTACAATATAACTCTAAACGATCACATGTTCTAATATAACTGCAACATAAAGCAAAACATTACAGTAAATTATAATATGTCAATGGATGTCATTACTTCTAAATTAAGTTTTTCATCATTCATAATATTAAAATTCAGCAGTAAAATGTATTCAGCACTTTAATAATTTCAGTATGTAAAAAATTAAATACTAAATACTAAAGAAATGTATCATTTAAAAATAAAAGACCATATTTATTGCAACAAATTCAAATTACCAAGAGTGTTAATGACACATTCTTGAAAATGTTTTTCGTCCAGTTCATCTGTTTCAGTAGTTGTTCTAATATCAATCGAATGCTTCAAATGATTAAGCAATGAATTAAAAATTTCCAGGACTGAGGGGCCTATAAACAAAAAAGGTAAATTTTATGTTTTCAAGTACATTTACTCCAAATGAAGCATATATTTAGTAATAAAATTATCAAATCAGTATTGTACTTAATAAGACAAATTATTAATTATCAAATTGTTATTGTACTTAATGCCTACATCAAAAGTATCTTGACATATCCAGGTAGATATTGGATATCATTTATGCCATAGGGTGAGCTGATATAGGTATAAAAAGAGGTAGGTAGTTTTACAATGATAATTGTACAATGCAAAAAAAAAAAAAAAAAAAAGGGGGGGGAAGAAAATATGAGCTAAATTACTTTGATGAAATAAATGATTAGGCAATGTTGCAAAACAACAAGATTTCTCTTGACAGTAATGCTTAAATTTCAGTTGTACTGTTAGCTTCAACTTGTTCACAAGCATGTCACAGTGTATTTCATTCATATTTTGATCCTCTTCCTAGTCCATTAATTTTCAGGATAATACACTTCCTAGACAACAGCAGTGACCTGGTAGTAGTAACCATGCTTTAAATGTTTTTCTGATTGGAGAAGGAAAGTGCTTCTACACCCCTGATTATATCTTATTCAATACCAATAACCTATGCTTGTATAATTTGTCCTTCATAAAATTTGATGAGAAAAAGGTATCTACTTCATGATGGTTCATATGCTCCTGAGAAATTATCTGCCTCAGAGACTTGTGATCACTGGATGTTGCTTTAGGATGCATCTGCTACACACTTCCTTGTACCATAACTCATCATACATAACATTATCTGCACTCATCATACATAATATTACCTGCAAGTCATGATTCACACTGAAGTCTATTTTATCAAATCATTATTTGATCTGTTGTTTCACTAATTCAACTGTCATATTAACTAGTCTAGTTGTCACCAGATGCACATTTCATTATGCATACTTTTCCAAACATTTTAGAGTGCAATTTTAACTACTTCCCAGGTTTTTTCACATATTTTATGAATTACAAATCATTATTGTATATATGTAAGAACTCAAAAAATGTTAAAAATATAAAAAGTTCATGAACATTAAGTTTTGTATTTTTGATATATAGCTTTTATGGAAGTTGAGGCGGAATCCTCCTCCCCCTTTAAAAAATTAAGAGTAATGATAGGTAAATATGGAAGAAATGCACACAAATTACTTCCGTAATCTAATTATATTTAGCTGTATGATCTCAAACTTCTATGGAAAAATCTGAATTTTACAAATGATATTATTTTTGATTTAAGTAACAGGAAAAGAACAAAAATTTTAACATGTACTTTCATAAATATTACATCAACTCTCTTCTAATTTTAGTGCTTACATCAAATATTAAATTTTTGCTTGCAAGAACTGGTACATTGCATTTTAAGTAATGTTTCACAAGTTGCTTACATACTGCATTATTTACTAAAATAATATTGCATATATTATGTGTTCTAGACATTTGCTACAAAAATAGCAAAAGAAAGAAGAGGAACCTGTTTTTGAGTGCTGTATAGTTTACTACACTCATAGCTATTAATTTTGGAAATATTACCTATACTTTCCCCTGCAGCTATGGAAACTATATTCGCAAGCACATTAACAATTCCAGTACGAACTTTAGCATCTGCTTTTGGTTTTTTTCCCTTTCTCTCAGACTCAGCCATCCTTGACTTCTCATCTAAATGGCTCATTAATATCTGAATCACAGCATATGAATATTGCGCCTAGAAAGAGAACAAGCCATTTCATAATTATTATCATTAAGCAAAATTTAAGTAATTTGTAACATAAAGAATATTTATTCTATAGAAATACTCAATGATGGAAAATTTTAGCCAGAATTGAAAAATTTAACACAGTATGTCACAAGATTTCGTTTATTAATTTGATTTAAAACACACATCCATATACATTTATTCATAATTTCAAACAAAAACAAAACAAAATAATAATAATTAAAAAAACACAATCTGATATTCACATTCAAATTTTAATTTAACATTTGAAACAGCTTCAAGTTAAAAGTTATAACAGGTTACTAATATAAGAATCAATCTCCAGAAATTCAAATACAGAATACAAAATCTTCCACTTGATGAAATGTTCAAAATTATGAAGCCAAACAGCAGACAGGGAAGAGACATATTATGATATTACTCCATCATAAACTAATACCATTGACAAACTTTTGTGTTTAATACGTAATTAATACATAATTATTTAAGAGGAAGATGTGCTATTTTGTTTTTGGCTTCAAAAATTGCCAAAGGGTTATGATAAATATGTTATTTTTTCCCCCAGGATATAAAAACTGCCATAGTAAAAAGCAGTTAAAATCTGATTTTTTTGGCATAAAAAATTTGATTAAAAAAAGCACTGTGGTCATTAATTCAGTTAAAAAAATATTTTTAAAAAGAAGCTTAAAGTGTATCAATGATTAATAAATTTTTCCAACCAGCAACACAAATCTCAACATTTGAAACTTATTCATCATGTTTTCCATAAGATACTGAACATCATATTTTACAAAAAATGCAAAGAGGTCTTTGTTTAGTTATAAGATTCAAATAACTCATCTGAAGTAATAAAAAAGCAAAAAATATATTTAATACTGTTCTGAAATTTGAAAAGACCTTTTCAATGCTTACCTGAATAGAATACATAATAATCTTGAAAGTATGAACAGCAAAGTCATTTGGATCCCATAATTTATGATTGTCTAAGTGTCTAAAAAGTATTAAGTTTCTATATTAAACTAAACTAAAAAAACTTCTTAATATATATATAATATTATACAAATAGAAAAATACATAGGTAAATTTATATTCCCTTAAAATACCAAAGAATTTCAAGTTATAAAATGTCTAAAACTTTTACATTTTCCAAACAAGAAATTTTACACATTCACTTAAGGAAATTATTCTACTATATATATATATATATATATATAAGTATATAAGCCAAACCGGCAATTCTAGTCAAGCATAAGAAGAGGAATCAGCTTGAAGTTGTTGTGGCTGAAGGTGATGGCATACAGATGAAGATAACAAAACATGCATTTGAAGAATTTCCAGTCTTTATTTCCACACATATAGAATCATCTCCATAGATATTTATCGAATCATAATGAAATTCGAGACATTTCTATGATTCAATCATAATGAAATATGATGGATTGCTATGTATATTGGTTCTTAAAATTACGATGCAGGCATTTTAGACGGAGAAGCAGAGCAGCGGGGATATTTTAGCAGTGGCAGAAGCTAGGAAAAAAATTACGTAATTAGCTGCCAGAGCAGAGTAGGTGCAATTCCAGAGACAAGCTATGATTGGTTAATATTAATTTTGGTTACCCTTTTCAGTAGCGCTACATAACATAGAAAAATCTCAAATTTGGGAGAACAGATAAATTTAGGCCTAGAGCACCAAATCTAGAATGTTCATTTTGAGATCGGCAATTATTTTTTAAAGCAGCTACCGCATTTTGTTATATCTTACATATTTTTATTTATATCATAATTTTGAAGCACAGTCGCGATGACTGAGTGGCATGGCGAGAAGAACGAGTTGATATCAAACTAGATTTAGCCAATTAACATCTTTATTTTGAGATCTGCACGCATACTAGAATAATTTTTTGTAGACAATATAAATACAGTCTTTAATCATAGCAATTATGATATTTTCTTACATGCACAGGTAAAAAGATCTGATGTCATTTCAGGCAGGGAAGCATAAGTGGCGCAGAGTTGTTTGCATGGTAGAAGTTAAGGTCTTTCCCTAACTCTGTGCAACTTTCCCTTATTTCTACAATGGAAACAACTTTGTTTCCTAAAAAAATTTTTTTTCTAGCCAGTTATCCATTCCTTAACCGTATTTACATTTTGGACAGTGAGCAACATCTTCTATTGCTCAGGCAAACCCTGATTCAGAGCATCAATTAAGACCGTATCATTTAATTTTAGGCTCACGGAATGTTTCAGTTTTTCTCTAAAATATTTTTCAATGTCATTGCATTTGAAATAAGTAATATTTACAAATTCACTAAAAGAAACAGATTCTGCATAGGCAAGAAATTTATCTTTTTAAACCTTTCCAGTCTAATTCAGCACACTCTGAGAAAAAATGCCAGAGCTTCACTATGTTACTTATGTCATAATTTCAAAGTACAGTCGCGATGGCTGAGTGGCACAGTGAGAAGAACGAGTGATACCAAACTAGATTTAGTCAATTAACATCTTTATCTGCAGCTTTGCAGATACATTAGAATAATTCCTTGTATATAATACACTCTTTAATCATAGCAATTACTATAATTTCTTACATGCACAGCTGAAAAGATGCGACATCATTTCAAGCAGGGAAGCATAAGCAGCGCAGAGTTGTTTGCATGGCAGAAGTCAGGAAAAAAGGGAAGCGTAGTGCTTATGACTCAGTATTTATACTTTGTAGGTGCAGAAAGTATTCTAGAGACAAGCTATGATTGGTTAATATTAGTTTTAGTTGCCCTTTTCAATACCATTACATAATTTGAATTACTCAAATTTGAGAGAACAGATGAATTTAGGGGGAGAGTACCAAATCTAGAATGTTAATTTTGAGATCGCCAATTATTTTTTAAAGCAGCTGTCATATTTTGTTGCATATTTGTTTCTTGCATATTATATGTATACATACACACACAATGGATTGCTTATATTTACATGTTTTTTTTTTGGGGGGGGGACACTGTGTTTGTTCAAAATAAATATTCTGTAACAGTTTTTAAGCTTGCTTATAATTTTGATGCTATAATTTTGCAATTTTTTCCACATACAGGTTGGACTGACAAAGATACAGATTACTTTCATTAATTTTCTGAAACTATTTTAACTATTAAACTTTAATTTATGTCTCCTTTGTACAGAAACACGTTGACCTAGTTACTTCCTTCGTTACACCCCCCCCCATGATGATGCAGTGAAAGATGGAAATTTCCTTTCCATTTTTGCTTTTGATGTTTTTTGCTGGATTTTTAAATATACCGTAATTTCCGGAAGAAACGCTGCGGCGTTTAAGTGTTTAAAACTTAAATTTTCAGCAGGTGCGGCGTTTTTACCCATGCGGCGTTTAGGTGCACTAAAAATAAAATATTTCCTATGATGGTCATTGTACATAGTTTGGATGGCCTTGTCACTGTGCATAGATTGGTGCTGTTCCCACACAAAAGACCACTCAGTTGCTTTTTGCGAACGTTATTTTGTTTACATTCTTTCCCTTGAACGGACCTACATGCCTTATTCACCCTAAACGAGATCTCAGAACAATAACATTCTTCCCCCTTTCAAATCAACATTCTCATCAGTTTGAATAGTCTCTCTCCTCTGCCATTCGATGAATCTTCCAGGACCCATCCTCTTTCCACCCCTGCCTTTTCTGCAATTTTTTTCAAAGGCGGACACGACTCCACCTGCCTCGCAATAACGAACTCTGACGTATTTCCCCTTCAGCATGAATGGATTTTTCTTGGCATTCTGCCAAATACAGATCCCATCAGTTAGGGTACAAGTACTTGTTGGATAGTTTTTAATTAGGGAGCGAAAAATTTTTGAAAATGTCTCTAAACGGCACAGAAGCTATACATTTCTTACCTTTAATTTATTTTTGAGTTATGGTTTCATTTCATGCATTTTTCTTAACTGGTATGTCATATATCAGGACTTAGGTTGAGTTTTTGCATCTATACGGCCCACGACGATGTCACGCGCAATTTAATCTATTGCGGCGTTTACGCTGATGCGGCGTTTCTGTGTAATTTTAATTTTTTCCCGCCATTTTTCTCGAGTGCGGCGTTTACGCTGATGCGGCCTTTCTTCCGGAAATTACGGTATTTTTAATTTAATTTATTTTGTATCATTACTTCCATTTGTTGCTGCTTTCCGTGTGCAACCGGATTAGGTTTTGAACAGGTTTTATTTATTTATATTTATATATTAATATAATAATATGAGTAAACTTTTGCATGTCCTCTTGAAAAAAATGTCTAATGGTATAAAGTCTCAACCAAAACATATAATTCAGCTCAGTTTGCCATACTAGAAACTGCCATTTTCAAATGATGATGGGCTTCTTTATGCTATCAGAGGCATCATACAGTACTTATTATTACATTTTTAACTAAATACAGTATATCACTTGCTTTTGTTCTCTTTTTCTATACAGGTTAAAGTTGTCAAATCTTTCCAAAGTTTTAACACTTTTTTGTGCAACTTAGAATTTTTCCTGGAACTTAAAGCAAAGATATATGGGAGATTAAAATACATACACATTATACATTAAAAGCTTTAAAAATGAAGTGCACTGAATTAATTGATACTGCTAATATAATATATTACATGACCAATACCAATAAAGCCATAACATTTAGAGGGAGATTCATAATTTCAGTACTGCTCTTTGATATTATTTTTAAGAAAGAAAGGAATTACAATTTAAGAGGCCACTACTTCATTGGAAAATTTAGTATTTAAACATATTATAAAGGCCCTCTGAAAACTGAATTAAACTAATGTATTTAACAACAGGTTTACGGACAAAATGGATAAGTAACCCATAATATAAAGCATAGTTGCCATTTTTTATCATACAATTTTAACAAATTTCCAATCAACGTCTTAAAATTTCTCTTCTGCATAATTCTATTAACTTCTTTATAGGACTAGGGTTAAAACGTATATATGAAAATATTTTAATACTATATTAGTTAATTTCAAAATTATGCAGAAATTATACAATGTAAGTTGAAACATAACCTTACTTCAAGACAGGTCTAATAACAGATCGAACATTTCCAAATGTTGCTCGGCCCATAAGTTCACGCAAACAGTTTTCAGCTAATGACCACGGATTTGCTTCCTCTAGGGGGGAATCTGGTGTTTCAGTCAAACTGCCACTATGTGCAAAGAATAAAATACCACAATGTTATAAACATGAAAAGTAAAACTAAAATAGAGATGATACAGACTCTTAAATTTTTGAATTAAAAAAGCACAATATATTGATTTTGTTATAATGAAAAAAGAGAAAGCAATAGAAAATTATGGAAAATACAAAATCTGCTATCGTAAGTTAATTGTAAGAAATGTACCAATATAAAATTAGTGCTATATTGGGCAAAATTCAAACTTGATTTTAATGGCTATTTTAAGTAAACTATTCTGTCTAATTTTATGCCATAAATCTAGTCCTTTCATATTAAAACATATTATACAAAATTTAAATACTCATATCTGGCTATTTCACAATGTATTTTACTTTTTCTGAAAATTCATTTTAAAAGAAATTTTTAAAATGTTGATGTAAAATGGAAACTATATCATTATTTATTTTGGTTCTAATAATATTTACATTTACACTTTTAGGGTTTACTTTAATTTTCTAATAGTTTTTTAGTCCAAAAGTTTTTTAGTTTTTTTGTCCCTGAAGGACTATTGTTTTCATTTTGGGATTTTGCATCAGAACCCTATAAATGACGTATCACTTTTCAAATCGTTGCCACCAAATATTATATTTGAAAAAATTAAATAATGAAGAATCTGAATAAATGTATGCATGTTTCTCGCATTGTAATCAAACAACGGTACCTACAGCCATCCAATTTTGAATGACATAATTCTACTGCAAATATGTGCATCTGAAAGCTCAAGTTTGAAATTTGGAATTTGTTTTATTATCGATTTCATACTTTGTAAAACTTTAATGAATTTTTGATTAACAAACACAAAGATTTAAAAGCGAGCAATAGCAACACTCTACGGGTGTGTGTGTGGAAAGCTTTTAATTTCCAGCATGTGGAACTGTGTATCGGAAATTCTAAAGATATGCTCATTTTAAAATTATTTTGCGACATTGCTATTGAACCAAATTTTATGGTTTAAGTGCAAAGATTATGATATTTAATAAATAAAGGTAACACATAAGGCGATAAAAAACACCCCTTTGAATGTATTTTAAAATCCGAAACCTTTCAGATTTTATTTTATTTATTTATTTTTTTACTATTATAATTTTGGAACAAGCCTTTACTATAAATTCTAAATGTCCACCTACATTTCCCTGACAGAATAAGTTTTCAGGATTACAATTAATGCAAATGAGGTAGAAACAAGTATTTAAGCTGGAATTTGGGTCACTTCAGCACGTGAGTGTGTTTTGCCTTTTCCTGTTGTTAAGCTTACTGTTCTACGGCCGTACTTCTACATGCCTGCTAGTATACATTGGCGATTTTTAAATAAGGGCCAACTCCTTTAGTTAATTCTGTGCAGCTTTGGTTGGTTAAATTTATTCAGCATTTGATTAATTAATAATTTCTATTTTGAGTCAAAGCCCAAGTTGAGACTTATTTTACACCCACGAAGGGGGCCTTCTGTTAACTAATTTTGAGTTGGAATAAAGGGTAATTCAACCCATCTCTCGACTTGCCAGTTACAAGAACTCAGCGAAAGTCACCATACAGTTCTTCAGTATTTTGGCTTGCAAGGAATTCTAGTTTAGCTAAGTTATTACACTGCTGAAGTAAATATTTAACCTTTTTTTTTTCTCAACCTATCATTCATCACGATTAGAGAAATACTCTTATAATAAACAAAAGAGAATTCCTGTGAATGAAATTAATTTATGCATACATAAAATGCTTTAAAATAAATTTAAAAAGAAGCAAAAATTAACAAATAATGAAAATAAATAAATAGCAGATGTATTTTGTAATGCATTCTTTGTGTTTGGTGTGTGTCTAAATAAAGTGATTCATCCTATAATTTTGCCCAGCAGTTTGTTATATTCTAAATATTTCTACATTTTGTATTAATAAAATTATTAATGTCACCCCTCCCCCAAAAAGCTTTTGGCTAATAGAAAATATTTGAACTTACCAGTGATCTTGCATATTGAAAAGGAGAGAAGGGATAATTTTTTCCATGTGAGTTTCATCCCATATATTCACTTGTAGATCATCACTCACTGTCTTCCTCACTACACCTTGGATCCCCTTCAACCCAGCAACTCTCAGCCTATATATTTATAATATTAAATATATCATTATTTTAATCAAAACAAACTATTTAAGACATTATAAAATACAATAACTATTTAAGAAAAATCTCAGCATTCATACACATTTCTGCACATGAAAATTAATAACTTTTGAGGATTTAAACAACTATCAATTAAACAAATTAAGGACCTGTCAACAAATGGAAACTGAACAAATTAAAGCAATTATCTATGCAACCAAATTCATTTTTGTAATATCATTCTAAGAATAAAACAGAAGTGTATGTAGGATGAATTATTGAACATAATCTAATATTTAATGTAACTGTAAAACAAATTTGAGAATAAAATTAACTCCCTAAAACTTACAAAGTAATCAGTGCTAAATTAGGATTATCAAAGACTTTTATTTTACACTTACAATAGTCAGAGATATTTTAAAGGAGATTTACATGTTCACCTCTGGTTTTAACATAAGGAAAAACTGCCATGTTTCTGGCATTTTCAAGTGTATATGAGACAACAGCCTAATCATGGATGCATATAGCACTTATGTGTCTGAGTGCCCATTGGATTTATTTTTAATTATTTGCTATACTCTGTTTTACTGCATTATTTTCAGTATTAGAGTACCATTCCAAAATTATGAACAGTGGTCATATAAATTTGATTTTTTCATAAAATTTGTTTTACATAAAATCTTTCTTTATATTATCATTTGTGAACAGAACAGTATCTGTGATTTATGAGGATTGTAAAACAAAAGTTTTTTGCCAATCTGTAAAGTCAGTGGCGATTTGGCAATTTTTCGTAAGCCAATCTGTAAAGTTAGTGCCGATTTGGCAATTTTTTTGTATGGGTATGGACAATCAGAAAGTATGAATGCTTTCCAATTACCCACACCCTTCTGAAAAGTATTCATGATGCAACATGCTATGTTGAAAATCATGACATCACCAGAATGCATTTATGTGGCAACCCAAGTATGAGCACACATGCGGCAGTCAAATGCTTATTTCCAATGAAGGCCATGCTTTTAATGTAAAATTTATTAATATTTAATTAGAAATTCTAAATGTTATGTTCTTTTGCTAATTTTTCTTCCTTCCTTCCTTTCTTTTTTTTGTAATTTATACTGAGCAAATCTCAAATAGGGGGAAAATAGGCTTTAATTTATGGGAGTATTTTTAATTAAGACGGAAATAACATTAATAAATGATGAACATATTATTGTCAGGATAAACATAGTAATGCATCATTTATTTTTGTAAAACAAAATTAAATACAAATATTAACTGGTTACACATTGATTGAATCTAAATAAAAAACTCCAAAAATATCTACAGTAGATTAATACACTTCAAGTCAATAATAATAATAAAATTATGCTGAAAATCAGTAGGGATGGGGCAGTGGAAATTGCGTAATTTAAGTTACGTTAACTTAATAAATTTAATTTATTCTTGATAAACATTTTTAGCATAGTCTATATATTAAAAACTGGGTGATTCAGTGACTGACATGAAGATGTGATGGAAAACTACCAGGAGAGTTGGAAGTTATGGATGTGTATTGTTCCTAATGGCCTTGTAGCTGCAGCAGTTTAAAACTCACCATATAAATATGTAGCCCTTTCCAGATTTAAATCGTTATAATACTGGCAAATATTTTTAGGTTATTTCCCCTTCTTTACGAGTTCCCATTTCATGTCTTTTGCCCACATATCTGAAGACTTTTCAGATATAGTAATGACTGTGGGTTTAATATAGTATATATATATACTAATATAGTATAGAATACTAATACAGTATAGTAATGACAGTGGGTAATGACTGACAACCTGACCTTTATGAAACTCACACTTGGACCTTTTTTGAATGTCATGCTTTCCTCACAGTACATCAAAAAATGACCATTTTATTCATTACTTCCTAAATGTTAAAAGTAGTTTTTAGCTTTTAGTGAATTCTGTGGGTAAAATTATTTCATTATTTCTATATAATTTGCAATAAATAAAAAATTCACAAATGTTTTATCAGTTTCAATAGAGACCGGGTCTTGTGTCCGAGTACTCTGGTGTCGCACCAGTCTTCTACTCACTTGATGGTAAGATAAAGGTTGAAATCCGAGAACACCCTCTTTTTTTTAATCAAGGCAGGCACTGTTCTTGTTTTAACACCTGTTTGAGAGCCTGGATGAATAACCAATTAAACACTCCAAAACTTTCAGTTCAGGATGGTTGACAATTTCATGTTATTTACAACAATTTGCAATGACTCTAATAGAAGCCACATGGTTTGAATTCAATATTTATCCAAAATGTTAGCTCTTATTTAGAATACAAATCATAGAACAGGGACAAAAATGTTTTATGAATGAAATTAAGGACTTTTCATGAGCAAACATTGCTTTCAAAAACCTAGACTCTTAAAGTCTGTAAGAACCTTATTTTAAATTTTACAGTATAAATAATGAAAATGTAATATATTATACATATATTTATATAATAATGCAGAAAAGTTGGTTGCAGAAATGTTGATTCATGATGAACAAACTTTGAAGTTAATGCAATCGTGGCAGAATTAAACATTCATTTTTATTTTAAATGACACTTGTGGCCACAAATAACATCGCATGCTAATTGTGCCTATTCCAGAACATAACATTTACATTTTTGATATTGCTGCAATAAGAACAGAGCAGCACGGCAATGGCTCTTGTTAACAAGAGAAACAGAAGGGAAGTGCGACATTTTCATGATTACATCTTAGCTGCGAATGGATTACTTTTGATTTTGATATTATTTGATTGACTAATTAAAAGCACTCAACAATTATTATTGGCTATTTTAGTTTTAGTTTGCAAAACCATCTATGTCACTAGCATTATAAAAAATCATATGACATGGTTGTTAATTTTAAAATGGTGCCGTTTAAAGAGTTTTTTTTTAATGAGCAATTATTATTTTTAAGACAGACGAAAATACCCAAATTAAAATGGAAAGTTAAGGGACTATTGCAAATTATAATGTTTTCTATATTTTTTTTATCTTACATACATATACATATATGTAAAATATAAAAAAAAATACAATGGCTTTGCTCTTCGCAAACATGCAACCTTTAATTAACGTTCTGCAATTCAGGATCTTTCCCCTAGACCAGTACCTTCTAGAATTTGCTAGCCTATTACATAACCGCTACTATAAATAATGAATGCGTGCCATTTTGCATCAGAAGCTCGCCTCCCCTGCGCTATACATCTTGCTGCTGCTTGATCTATATTTCCTCTGTTAGAAATAGTAATGACGCATAAAGTTTAACTTTAGTCGTACTTGGTTTAAACTACTATTGAATATGGGATTTAGAGAATTTCATATGAAGTACAGCATGATCTACGGTAAAAATTGAATTAAAGCTATGGAATAAAGATGTACAATTAAAAGCTAAATCAACTTGCCTTTTCATTTAGATTAGCCTTACCACTCCACAAAAAACATGCCTGAACACTGATGCCAAGCTTCATGACTGCTAAAATATCACAGTTATTTATTTTTTGGACGGTGAGCAGCATCTTCTGAGCTTCCGTTAATTCTTGGTTAAGTGCCTCAACCATTGTGGAATCATTTAGTTTCAAAGTAGATCCAAATCTTAATTTGTTACGATAATACAAGTCAATATTGTTAAATTTATCTAAGTAATAGACACAAAATCATTAAAAGTCATTGTCTCTGCACTGGAAAAGTATGTCTGGAAATTGTCTTTCACTACTTCGGAATCTTTTTCTAAGCAGTCTCTTAAGTAAAATACTAAGGCTTCTCCCCTTAAACAGTCAGCAAAGATGAAAGTTTTATCTTTTCCTGAATATTTTTAGTGGTACACTTTTGCTCAAACAGTAGAATGTACTTGTCAATGGGAAAATCACTTTTTGATCCATCAAAAATTGGAAATTGAAATTTTGCAGCATCAATTGTAACTGTTGATTCTGTATTTGTTGCCATTTTACTTTTAGATCTTGTATTCATACCAATTTTGAATATGAAATCAACACTAAAAAATTTTTCACATTACACCAAAATTAATCACAATACACTTTGCTGAAGAATTTTCATTTATCAAAACACTTCACAGCACTTGAAAAACGCATATTCGGATCCGAGGAAAAGCACAGGGAAAATGCAACACACAGTAACTGACCATTACCCACTGTAGACGATGAAAAATTAAATGCGCATTAAATAATCCACTGGAGCTTTTTCCCACACAGAAAATCCAGTTGGCTAAATAAATAACTGTGATATTTTAGCAGTCGTGAAAGCTTGGCATCAGTGTTCAGGCATGGTTTTTGAGGAGTGGTAAGGCTAAACCAAATGAAGAGGCATGTTGATTTAGCTTTTAATGGTACATTTTTAATCCATAGCTTTAATTCAATTTTTACCATAGATTATGCTTTACTTCATATGAAATTCTCTAAATCGCATATTCAATAGTAGTTTAAACCAAGTATGACTAAAGTTAAACTTTATGCATCATTACTATTTCTAACAAAAGAAATATAGATCAAGCAGCAGCTAGATGTACAGGCACAGGAGAAGTGAGCTTCTGACGTAAAATGGCGTGCATTCTTTATTTATAGTAGCGGTTACGTAATAGGCTAGCAAATTCTAGAAGGTACTGGTCTAGGGGGAAGATCCTGAATTGCAGAAAGTTAATTTAAAAGTTGTGTGTTCGCGAGATGCAAAGCCATCGTGTTTTTTTATATTTTACATCTTTGATAGGACATAGTTAAAGCTTGTTTAGGATCCATGATAGGACATAGTTGAATCTTGTAAGCTATGTTCTGGATGTTTCTTCATATCTTTCCTCATACTTGCTGCTTCACTAATCTACTAATGCTTTGCTCACCTGGTCTCTTGTTTTGAGGGTGGGGGAAGATGTAAAATATAAAAAAATAGGATGGCTTTGCTCTTCGCGAACACGCAACCTTTAATTAACTTTCTGCAATTCAGGATCTTCTCCCTAGACCAGTACCATCTAGAATTTGCTAGCCTATTACATAACCTCTACTATAAATAACTAATGCGTGCAATTTTGCATCAGAAGCTCGCCTCTCCTCCTGTGCTGTACATCTTGCTGCTGCTTGATCTATATTTCCTTTGTTAGAAATAGTAATGACGCATAAAGTTTAACTTTAGTCGTACATGGTTTAAACTGCTATTGAATATGCAATTTAGAGAATTTCATATGAAGTACAGCATGATCTACAGTAAAAATTGAATTAAAGCTATGGAATAAAGATGTACCATTAAAAGCTAAATCAACTTGCTTCTTCATTTGGATTAGCCTTACCACTCCACAAAAACCATGCCTGAACACCGATACCAAGCTTCATGACTGCTAAAATATCACATATATAAGCAGTGAAAAGAAAAAGTACTTCAAAAGAAATTAAATTTAATAAGTACATGAAGATTTATCAAAGCTTTACAAAAAAAAAAGTTGTAAAAATTTACACTGAAATGTACACACACCATGAAGAATAATATTTTATTACATAATTATTCCCATTTTGGCAAGAAAAATATTTAAAAATTATGCATACAGATTATATTGCTTTAATTATTTCTCATTGGAAATTATTATTTTATTTCACTAATATAATTAAGGAAATAATGGATCAAAATTAATTTCAAAAGTTTTGTCAGCCTTATATGAATTTTACATGAAATACTTTAAAATTGCAAATTTCAATGAAATGGTCTACATGCTTATGAATACACTACAATAAATTTGATAATTCTAATACATAAAAGCAAATTTGGAATTTTAATATCATTACACTCAATTGATTCTCGCTATATGATCTTTGGAGAAATATGAAAATTTAATTATGATGCTGAATTTTAATGGAAAAGATAAAATAATCTACATGAAGCAGTAAAATAAATCATGCAGTTTTATATGGATATGACTGCATGCACATATAAAATCAAAATATGATAATATGATATTTATCATAAACAAAGAAGACTGAAATTTCAAGGAAAAATTTTAACCAGATTTAGAAATTACCTGTTTCGTGTTTCTAGATCATCATGGTTGTTGTGACAGAGAGATGAGAATTTTGAAACAAAGAAATCATATCCACGATGATATGATGGAGTATCTTCTTCAATATGAGCAAACTTTACAAACTAAATATGAAATAACAAAAATAAAATCTTAATCATATTCTTATGGATATTTATAACAATATATAATATTTACTATTATAAAATATTATGCACAAAAGCTCAGATTTCAGATTACTTAAAACTTTAAGATATCATTTCATTTTTATAAAAATAAAATGATAAATGATATAAGGCAAGAAAATTTAATTTTCTGAAAATCTTTTAAACAATTATCTATATAAATTCGTAATTAAGATACTGAATTTTAAAATGCCTTTCCCACGAAATGGTATTGGCTTAGGTTAGAAAGGTTTCAGTTCTCGAAATTACAAGTTCAAGTTCTGAATTAACTACGTCATCAGCATGGTGTAGAGAAATATGATGTAATATGGTGGCAGCAGCACATTCACCTGAAGTAAAAAAGTTAGTTAGATGTTAGATGCCAGATGGGAATGGCACATTAAGTCATATCCTTTTATTTGTAGAATTTTTCATATGCAGATTTATTAACTAATTAACTGTATAGTAAATAAACATTTAACTTAACCTTGTTGAATATAGATCAATCATAGACGTAATGTTCTTCGTATAGAAACATAGATTTTAGATACAGTAGAAGTTTCGCCTTAGAATAAAACTCCTTTCACAACACATGGTACAAGCCATGCAAGATGGAATGATCAAGAAATGACACAGTCCAGAAAGTTGTTGCAATTTTTAGAATACAAAGAAGGAATACCCAAATTAAAAATAAGTAATTAAGAGGCTATTGCTAAATTAGATTATAAAGCTGATTTACAAATTTTTTATCTTACATATTTACCTCTAAAAAGGCTTGTCAATAGAAAAGTCTTTTTTAGAAGAAAGCATTAAAAAATTAATGAAACAAGAGAAATACAATTCTGAAAAAATAAATAAATAAAATGAATCATAAAATGTTGATGAAAATTCTATTGAAATTCTGAAAATCTGCAAGTTCATTTTTCTGTCAAATATACTGTAAAGAGTGTCCTAATTTTTTCAATAAATAATTGGAAATGTTAACAGTTCTGGAAAATATTTGTTTGAATATCATAATCATAATATTTTACAGTTCTTATCTTGAAAATCTTTCATAAAATTTGACATTGTCATTATATAACAAAAATTTTCTTTTACATATTCATAAAATTCATACTCAAGTTAATTATTTAACACTTAAACAGCCCACTTTTTCTTAACTGTAAAGAAATGTAAAATAAAATTTATAACGGAATGTAAATGTAAATAGAATTTAGAATGGGCATTTTTTCATAATGCAAGAAACTTGCATACATTCATCCAGATTTTTCATTGTTTAATTTCTTTAAATATAATACAGGGTAATAGTATTTGGTGGCAACCATTTCAAAAGTGATATGCTGTTTCTAGTGATTCAATGCAAAATGCCATTTTGAGACTAATATCCCATGCGGGACTTCAGATAATAAATGGAGACTAATTTATAAGAGGGGATATTATTAATGGTTACAAATAGTAATTAACTAATTATATTTTAATTCCTAATTAGATTCTGATCTTTGTGATTAAAATCTTTATGGAATTCAAGAGACTTTAAATACATATAAATTCTGCCAACAAATTTTAATTAGTACATTCCACCTTTCTTTTTAACTATTCTGCCAAACATAAATAGTGATAAAAAAAGCTGCTTATTATAATTTCCTTCCTAAACAATTTTTTAATTGAGCTAAGAATTAAATATTTCTGCTAAGACTGCTGAGAAAACAAACGATGCTTCAATAGCTGTCTCACTTCTACTCATACGGCAATCTTGGCTGATGACCACCATAATCACTAATGAAAGTTTCTCATATGTCCTCCAGGTTTAACTTTTATTCTATTTTTTCAGAGATAATGTTTCTGGCATTATTTTTTACTAATTCTTTGAGTTTTCACCAGAATCTATGCACTTTAATATATTTTTTAACAAAATGTAATTTTTCATAATGATAACAATACTAATGAAAATATTTATACAAATGACAAATAAACCACATGATTTATTTCATGAAGCATAACACTGAAAAGAGGAAAAAAAAAAAAAAAAATCCATAATGAAGATCAGAAATCCCTGCATATATGTTAATTCTTGATTACATGTTTCAGATGCATTACCAAAATTACAAATGGCTTGACAGTGTGTAATGCCATTTGGTGAAACCAAGACTTAACAAATGATTTAACTTCAGTTTACATTTTTAAGTTGAAACATATTTAGAATAATTTGACTGAATAATTCAATTTCAAAATTACAAATGGTAAAAGTTATATATTCTTTATGCTATTCCATGTAAACAGATCAACCCAAAGGCTGCTGAAGCTTGTTAAAAACCCCTGATGCAAAATTTAAAAAAAAAAAAAAAAAAAATTAATACCAATTACTTTGTCTCATATGCTCACTTATGGTACATTTCACTTAAGATTTTTACTATTTGCATTACACTAAAAGGGGGAAAATTATAAGAAATGAATAATGTACTACATCATAAAGTTTCGCCGTATTACCGACTGAGCTGCAAGGAGTTGCATATCAGCTTCATGACATTCAAGAAGTTTCTGCACCATTTTTAAGAAGCTTTCCACAAAAAGATTAAGACTTTGAGCATGACAAGCAATGAGCAGTTGATCCATGGCTTCCATTGCAATTACGACATACCTAAAGAAGGAAATTACATGCTTAAGAAATGTAATTAAAATTATATAAACAGTCAAATGAATAAGGCATTCACTAAATGGCAATTACAATACATTACTGTTAATTTACACAATATTCTTACAGAATTATCATACTCTGAAGATTATAAACAAAGAAAACTATAATACAACATTATAAACAAAGAAAACTATAATACCCCCTAATAGACAGATATTTAAAAGCAAATAATTTAAATACTAATGCCACCATTTCTTCAATGCTTAAAATTTAATAACTATATTCTTTTGAATGCAAATGATAGCGGAATTTTAAAAGTAGATAATTTGAGAGGGGGGGGGAGCCATCATTGAATTTAAGCCCAATAGTATTTTTAAATTCAAAAATTGGAAAAACAAAAGAAAAATAAAGAAATATTTCACATTATAAAACTAATTTTATTTACTTAGGTACTAAAACCTATCCAATTTACTGAGAATCTTTTCCTGATATACAATCACCTCCACTTTTGAAACCTGAATTCTCATCTTCATTTCTGCACCAGAGATAATCTTCAGAGTCATTTAAAGCAATAACAATGCAAAGTTTTAATAAAAAAAATCAGCGCAAGTCTCTTTCCGAGTCTCAAGGCTCATGATCACTCTGGTGTAATTTCAAATCAGAACATTTTATTGAAGTTTTTAAGCAACAGCAGATGGTGGTTCAAATTAATATAATTTTGGGAATAATGTTAAACCAAGAGTTAATATTCAAAACGTGCTTTCAGTTCTGAGACCTTTTTCTTTTGGCGGGAGGCAGGGATTAAGAGAATTCGAACATGTAAACAACTATAGTGTTCAATTCTTTTGGAACGATTGGTATTTAAAAGGCTACGATTTATAGTGCACTGGGTTGTTGATCTTCAATATGTGCCTTTGGTTCCAAGTTTCTTTTTTTTAATTGGAGCAAGGCGATTTGATCATGTAAACAACTGCCTGTGTTCGATTCTTTCGGAAGGACAGTCGTTCATAGGATTTTATAAATATGAATAGTTCATTCATTTCATTATATCTGTTTGGACATATCACGTAGAGGTTCTGTTCTGTTATCGGAACCAGATTCAGAAATGTATGTATGTACACAATATATCAATATATGAAATGTACACATACATACATGCACATGTGCATGTATGTATGTGTGTATACACACATATACAGGCATACGTACATATATACATGCATACATTAACACATCCATCCATACATACACATATTTCTGAATCTAGTCCCGAGAACAGAAGAGTACCCATGAAGTAATTTGTTAAAATTTTTAAAGTATCTATTTTTTGGCAGTGAATATATCTTTCAGTACTTATGGAAAATCCTGTCAACCATAAGAGATGGCATCAATCACGCCAAACAAAAAAAAAAAAAAAAAAAAAAAAAAAAAAAAAAACCATTTACTAAATACAAGAAAAAACATCCTTTTCTTATTTTTCTTTCAAATTTATTATATTATCATTTATTTATATTTAATTTTTCATTAAAAATTTCCATTATTTTTCATTAAGGAGATATACTGTAAAAGCAATTATTTTCATTGGGTTTTAATTTAATCGCCGGTAAGATTCCATAACTTTGGAAATATTCAACAGCATGCTCTTCTGTAGTAGGCAGGTCCCAAATTTTAATCGCTATTTTTTCAAAAATGTGTGATACAGGGGAAAAAAGGAGTCTTTACTCAAGAATAATAACTAGCACGTGTAATCAAGGTTACACCAAAACCAGCGTATTTGAAGAAGACTTTTTCATTTTTGGCGAAAAATCGCGTAGTTTGGCGTCTTTTCTTTAATAGGCAAAATTGGTAGACGGGATTTTCCGTAAGTACCTATCTTTTTTTTTTTTATTAAAATAAAAACCTTTTCTTTAAAAATCACAATTTTTATAAATATCATGAAAATTTTATACCGGTATATTGCAGATATTGTCAATAATAATAAACTATTTCAGCGTATTTAACCACTTAACAGTTGTTTTTTTTTGTCATATTATGATAAAAAATAAGCATATTTTTGATAAACATTTTTATGAAGAAATTCATTATATAAACCTAAATCAGCAGTCAGAACTATTACAAGTGTTGAATTTATTGATTTATGCTAATTTTTATTTTCATCGTAAAAAAGCACATTTTTGCTTAAAGTTGGCTTTTTTCGAACAAGTAAGCAAACTGAAAAGAACACTTTAAAAAAATAGATGTCAGAATTTAAAATGTTTTATTGTTATTACATATCTGTTCGATTCCAAAGAATTATTAATACCAAGAAAGAAGGTTTATTAATATCAAGTTCACAAAAGTTCCAAATTTGTGTTAGATTATCTATACTTTCCGTTTCTTCATCACTAGAGAATTCAGACAACAAACTGTCATTACTTCAGAACATCATTTAGTGAAATTTCAGATTCACTAGCTGTGTCAATATCAGAGTTATCTTGATATTGACAGCTTAGAGAGTCTAAGCTGCTCATTATCACTCATTTCTTCTTTTATTTTAGCTCCATAATTTAAAAGAAATAGTATTTGCAGTAACCAGAACACTGAGCTAGTGAAAAGAAATTTCATGCCTTTGCTTGTGTAAAAGAATTCAGTAAAATCTAACCTTGAAACCAGTTGTTTTTCCAATTCTAACTTTACTGGATTACTAGCGCCATCTGTTAGAAACATTACACACTAAACAAGCAAAAAATTCGGGCAAATCAGTGTATTAGAGTAGAAAAAAATGTTGCCCGAGCGGCACTCGGGAAAATAAAAAAAATGCCATTTCCAAGTACTCAAATGACGTTTGGGAAAACTGGAAAGTGGTTAATTGCAGTAATGATTTTGAATGAATTTTTAAATTAAATTAGGCTTAATGGGGAAAATCATGAGGCACCATACTGGTTGACTTTTGGAAGGTCTGGGCCTGGAGGAGCACTTCTTCCTCCTTTCACCAATCTTTCACAAGAATGAGAGAAACACCTGACTTTAATTTAAAAATAATAATAATAATAATAATAAGGGGATACGTGAAAATAATACAAAAGAAGAATAAGTGGCAGAGTATCAGCAAAATAATGAATGATATTTAAAGAAAACATAAACTACAATTACTTATCAAAATATCAAGTCAAATGCAAAATGTTTCTACGGGACATATAATTAAGGAGAGGAAAAGATATTTAATATGATTAATTGATACTTTAAGGTTTTGCCATAGTTGAAAACTACCCAGAGTTACATTCACTTCAAGAAAATCTACAGTATTTAAGTTTAAAAAAAATGCAAAATGAATTTCATACCCATGTCTATGCCTTGCAATGTCCCGTGACACTTTCCAAGCTAAGTATTCTCCAATACGATCAAGTTTCTCAGGAGATGAAAGGGCATAGAAAGTTAATTTTTCCATATTATTTCGAACAAGACCATCCTAGTTAAAAGAAGAAAACTATATTAAATGAATGATAACTTAAATATTTTACATAATTCCTTTTTAAATAATCTTTCTATGGTTTACTTTTTGAATTCATGACAAAACTGTTTATGATTTTATAATTTTCTTATGAATCTCAGTTCTATTACATCAAGGGCAACCTTATCCTGTAGAGACATTAGATCAGGGGTGCCCAACCCAAATTGGTTGGTAGGCCAAGCAAAATTTTACTAAACTGAGGTGGGCCACACATATCAAAATAGAACAACAAATTATACAAAATATTTTATTATCGTACAACATTCATACCTTACAATTATTGTGACATTTATTTTTGCATTTTACTTGACTTTTTTTTTAATATCAACGGATAATTTAGTCGAGGCGCATCATAGTTGTTTGGTCATGTTTTCAACAAGCAACCTGCTGCAATACTTTGTTTTTACCAGGTTTAATTTGGAAAAAAAAAAAATGACTTGAAGCGATAAGTAGTTCCAAATGCTGATATAATGCGCATAGCCAATCGTTTCAAATTTGGAAATTTATCTTCGAGGATATATTTTTGATAATATTCAATCTTATTCCCTTTGCACCTTTCTAGCTTGATGCTTGATTATAATTCCATTAGCTCCATTTGTAAATTTGGAGGCACTGATTCCACCTCTATGTTAAATGGAGCTAAAAATATTGTAAACCTTTCCTCAAACTTTTGTATGTAAAAGAATCTGTAAGAGAATGTTGAATTCTTCAAGTAACTTTCCGATTTCCATAGACTATTTGAAGAAATTTTCATGTTCACTTTTATAGTCATATAATAATAGGAAATGAATCAAATTGTTTGACTGCAATTGATTTTCATAAAGCTGAAGCTTTGCTACAAAGTCTTTTATATCTTGATAACAATTGGTAATCAACTTATAAGGTATTTCTTCTGCTTTCCTAGCATGCCTTCAGAGTGTGGTGGTCAGCACGCTGGGCGGTATCCAGAGGTCTGTGGTTTGATTCCCAGCGAAGGCGTTGCTAATTTTTCATCTTGCCCGCTTCCAAAAAATACCTAATGTCTCTACAACAGCACTCAAACTAAAAGGGTGGTGGCTGATTATTCTCCCCACCCAGAATTTGGCGATTGGGTCCCCTAAAAACCCCAGTCGCTCTTTAAAAGGGGGAGTATATAAAGGTATTTCTCCCGCCTTCCTGGTGTAGTGGTTCTGCACGCTGTGCTGGTATTTCAGAGGTCCAAGGTTCAATTCCCGGTGAAGGCACTTGCTCATTTTTCATCTTGCCTGCTTTTAAAAATACTTAATGTCTGTAGAGTGGCGCTTGAAATAAAAGAATAGTGGATGATGATTTCTCCCCACCCAGGATTTGGCGATTGGGTTTCCTAAAAACCCCAGTCGCTCTTTAAAAGGGGAAGTATATAAGGTATTTCTCTTACCTTCCTAGTGTCTCTGCACGCTGAGCTAGTACTCCAGAGGTCCTTGGTTCGATTACCGGCGAAGGTGATTGCTCATTTTTCATTTCTCCTGCTTCAAAAAAATCCTAATGTCTCTACAAACTTATTTTCACCTTGTAACTTCTGGTTTAGCTCATTCAGTTTCATTTTTATATCTGTTAGAAAACATAAATCTAGAAGCCATTGATCATCCGAAAGTTCACATATATTATGAGCATTATTATTCATGAAAGTTTCAATTTCCAAAATTGCAATAAGCAGTTTCCACAACTTGACCACTGAATCGCCTTATTCACATTCAAGTTCCCTAAGATATTCTTGAAATTGACAATGCTCCAATGGACTTGTTTTTAATTGAACTAAACCTTGACAACAACTTTCATCATATGAGATATATTTAACAAGTGTGCACATAGATTCTCGAGGTGGAAAAAAACAAAACAAATGAACATTTCAAAATCATTTGAACTGTTTCCCAAAGCTTTTACGTGATCGAAAATTAATGTAACAGCAACATTTTTTCTAACCAGTGAAGGGGCCCATCTATTGCAATGCTTACAAGATTTTTCAAATCTATCTGACGATTTTGCGCACATTTTATGACAGCATCCTTAATATCTCTTCTGGTAGTAGTACCTACAAACTCACAAGTTGCAATATTTTTTCAGTAATATTCATTTGACTATCAACACCTCTAATAAAAATAGCAAATTGAGCAGTATCATTTATATCTGACATTTCATGCAAAGCCAGTGAGAAATATATGAAGCTTGTTGTAATTATTTTTGCGATGCACAAATCTCACTCGAAATGTTTTCTATTCTTCTTTCTACAGTTTGACATGACAGACTAATTAGAGTAAAGAGGTTCAGTTTTTCTGGACAGATTTCTTCAACTGCGGCAGTTAGGCAGTCTTTGATATAGTTACCATCTGTAAAAGGCTTCATATTTTTAGCAATAATGTGGTATATTCGAAAGCTAGCACTGACAATACCATTTGATTGGGCAGTTTGCTTATCAAATATGTATTGTTGAGATGTCATATTGTTCTTCAAAGATTGTAACTTAGCTTTCCGTTTGCCAACAGTATAATTTTATCAATTTCTCCATGTTTTTGTTTATAGTGTCTTTTTAGGTTGTATGATTTTAAAGTTGAAATTGAATGATGACAAATCAAACATATAGCATTGTCTTTTACATGAATAAAAATGTACAAATTTTCCCATTCACTCTGAAAATATATTTTCATTTTCAAGTTTTCCTTCCTTCTTTTCAATTTTTCTTTCAGCCATGACGAATAAATATCTAATAGAAATAAATATGATAATTATTGATATGATAAAAAAAATTGTAAATTTACCTTTTACCTCAATCACAATCACAACAAAGTTGAAAGTTGACCAAATTGCACTTGTTGGCGGAAGAATATTTCCTAACCTACAAGGTTCTCATCTACAGTGGATTTGTGCTGCCATCTGACGTTACGTAATATAACAACTATCTGCGTAACATCTTCACATTTTATATTTGTGTTCAGAATGTCTGCATAAAACTGCTTTAGATTTAGGTTTTCAAAAATTTTATTTCAAATGCAAAAAGGCAATTAAGCAAAGAAGAACAGCAGTGTAATTATTACACTGTTCGACAAAAAAAAAAAAAAAAAAAAAATCTGTCCAATGGACAAATGTTTATTTTCTTATTGGTTGGAAAATTGCATGGGGAGTGGTGGGGGTAGGTCAAACACGATTTTTGTCAATTCAACCGTCTATAGTCCAAAGTGTAAAATAATACAGACAGAAACTTTAAATGGGTCACAAAAAGTCTTCAAATGGGCTGCATGCAACAAAACTGCTTATGATTTTATAATTCTTTTATGAATCACAGTTCCATTACATCAAGGGCAACCTTATCCTGAAGAGACATTAGGTATTTTTTGGAAGCAGGAGAGATGAAAAATGAGCAACGCCCTCGCCGGGAATCAAACCGCAGACCTCTGGAATACGCGCCCAGCATGCTGACCACTACACTACAAAGGCATGCTAAGAAGGCAGGAGAAATACTTTAAGTATTCTCCCTTTTAAAGGGCAACTGGGGTTTTTAGAGAACCCATTCACTAAATCCTGGGTGTGGAGAATCATAATCCATTTTAGTTCAGGTGCCACTGTAAAGACATTATGTATTTTTTTTTTTTTTTTTTTTTTTGAAGCAGGAGATGTAAAAAATGAGCAATGCCTTCACCAGAAATCAAACTATGAACCTCTGGAATATGCACACACATGAAAAACATAATGTGCACAAACTCTTACATATCCAATCAACTATATATCAAATGAGGCTGACAATGGCAGTTCCGTGGGAGAAACAAGCAGTTGTTGTTGTGCGTGCTTCTTGTTGCCAATGTCAGCTCAGTGGAGGAATCAAGGCTAGCCAACCAGAGCACTGATGCTATGTATCGAAAATGTCCCTGTGAGCTACTACCAGATCACAATTGATGGTTTGGAAATCACTGATTTAACATTTTCCATCATCAGTTCTTCTACAGTGGTTCTCAACATTTTTTGTCCCATGTACTTCTTCAACTAATAACAGATGACCATTTCTTTCTTCCTTTCCTAAACTCGAAAAATACGCATACATGTATTTAAATTTAGATTATTTTTTAATGTCTTTTATTAATTCAACTAGAAAATGTATAGAAAATATTGATAAATACCAAAATTTGAATAACAGTACTTTTTTTATATCCATTCTCACCAGGCATGGGTTCTCCCTCTGATCTGATACTATACTACTTTGCCCACTACTACCATTAACTTCGAAAATAAAAAGCAGTTATGAGCCTACTTAAAACAATTAACTTTTACAAAAGAGTATTTTTAAAATATTAGTATCAAAAATTAAATCTGATCAGATTTGACATTAAAGGATAGTTCAAAGTTCAAATAAATGATCAATATCACTTTTAATTACATATATGTAATGCAAATTTCATTAGGTATTGATAGTAAGGTTCAATTTTCAAAACTAACTCTTTAATTTCAAACTTTTGCAAGATACGTTCAGGAAGACTGCAGAGGGTAACTAAAGAACATAAAAATGCAATTCGTCTATTTTTACATATACAGAAGGGTTGTTTTTTTACAGGAGAAAGATAAAGAATACATATACCTATAGGACCATGGAGACAAGTTCATGAAGACAATCCTCATGCTACAGAGAAACAGATATCAAAGTTGACCTTAATGACTTTACAGCAACAAAGAACACAGATCCTTGAAAAATAGCTTTGTAGGTGAGCATACTCAAAGTTTTTAATGGCAGGCATTCAAGATGCATAAAGCTATGAATAGGTTTGCTAGTGCAAGGTCACTGATGACTGCTGCATTTTCACACTTCAGCCAATTTCTGCCATTATCAACATCTTTTACCTCATCCACCATGTCAGCAACCAACACATAACTGGTCTTCCAACTGAAGACTGAATATACTTCACTACATCTCCTTGTCAGTATTAAGCAGCAGTAAAAGGAATGCAAATTTTCAACACAATCATTAAAACCAGTTCATTATTTTCGACATTAATATACTTTCCAATCATTTTTTTGTTATGGTTAACTTCCATGGTCTTTATTTTGTGGATGGAAAGAATATTGCCTCTCGTAAAGGCACCTGATAAGCAGTGGCATGATTTCAAGCTGCAAACAATGTAAATTTTTATACAGTACTTTTGTGCACAAAACTTTACTTCAGATAGCACTTTAAAAATAAACAGCAGAGTGATAAAAATGAAGAGTAAACACAATGGTCAATTAGACATTTTGCTCTGATATGTTCAATGAGTCCATGTGCAAATTCTACATCCTCAGAAACGACTTTTGTTTTGACTATTTTCAGTAATGCAAGCAAATGATAGTATTGTCTGTGCAGTCATAATGGTGTGAAATACCACTCTGCAATTCTGAATGTTATTCACACATATATTAGCTATGTTTATAAAAACATAAAACTATTACTGGTAAAAGTTTGCAATTGGGTGGCCCTTGTTTTTTTTTTTTTTTTTTTTTTTTTTTTTTTTAAGCCATTCTTTTTGGCACCAGAAAGGCATAATTTCAAGATGGCTACTACACAAAACCAAAATAAGAAGTCAGAGTTGCATAAACTCAATGTCCATGTACACATCAATCTATTTTCACTTTAAAAAAAAAAAAATCACAGAACTGCACAAACTCAACACTGCGCATACTGTCTTGACTTTGTACATGTACACAACGATCTATTTTCAATTAAAAAATTCAGGAAGCTAAAACCAAATTGAAACTATCATAGTAACCAGAAATGGGGTTTCATCATCGAAATTGAACAAAATTTGTCCTATTACTTTAATATTATAACTGCAGTGTGATATAAGCAATACATCTTAACAACAAGGAATTACACTGAAGTGACAAAAGTCATGGGATACCTCCTAATATTTTGTCGGTCCTCCTTTTGCCACGGTGAAGTGAAGCAACTCAACGTTGCATGGACTCAACAAGTCGTTGGAAGTCCCCTGCAGGAATATTGAGCCATGCTGCCTCTATAGACGTCCATAATTGTGAAAGTATTGACGGTGCAGGCACGAACTGACCTCTCAATGATGTCCTATAAATGTTCGATGGGATTCATGTTGCGCGATCTAGGTGGCTAGATCATTCGCTGGAATTGTTCAGAATGTTCTTCTAACCAATCGCGAACAATTGCGGCCCGGTGACATGGCGCATTGTCATCCATAAAAATCCCATCGTTGTTTGAGTACAAGAAGTCCATGAATGGCTGTAAGTGATCTCCAAGTAGCTGAAGGTATCCATTTCCAGTCAATGATCGGTTCATTTGCACCAGAGGACCGAGTCCATGCCATATAAAAACAGCCCAGACCATTATGGAACCACCACCAGCTTGAACAGTGCCTTGTTGACAACTTGGGCCAATGGCTTCGTGGGGTCTGCGCCACCCTCGAACCCTACCATCAGCTCTTACCAACTGAAATCGTGACTCATCTGACCAAGCCACGGTTTTCCATTTGTTTAGGGACCAACCGATATGCTCACGAGCCCACGAGAGTCTCTGCAGGCGATGTTGTGCTGTCAGTAAAGGCACTCGAGTCGGTCTTCTGCTGGCATAGCCCAAGGAAGACAAATTTCACCGCACTGTCTTATTGGACACATCCCTCGTACGTCCCACATTGATTTCTGTGGTTATTTGACGCAGTGTTGCTTGTCTGTGAACATTGACAATTCTACGCAGATGTCGCTGGTTCGGTCGTTAAGTGCAGGGTTGGCCACTGCGCTGTCCATGGTGGGATGTTATGCCTGAAATTAGATACTCTTGGCACACTCTTGACACTGTGGATCTCGGAATGTTGAATTCTCTAATGATATCCGAAATGGAATGACCCATGCATCTAGCTCCAACTACGATTCCGCGTTCAAAGTCTGTTAATTCTCGTCGTGCAGCCATAATCACGTCAAAGCCTCTTCACATGAATAACTTGAACACAAATGAAAGCCCTGCCAAAGCACTTTGCATTTATACATTTTCTATGCGATACTACTGCCATCTGTATATTTGCATATTGCTATCCCATGACTTTTGTCACTTCAGTGTATATAATATTGTTTGTTAATAAAAATTTATCTTACTGCAATTTAAATTATAATTCTCTTATTAAGGTTTAACTTACACATGCAACACTGTTATACATAATATATTATGTTTGGAAAATAGTACGACTGACTTAAAAAAAAAGTTTTGACACGTTGACTTAATAGTTTTCAAAATATGTCCCTTCTGCAACAACACAGTGTTTCCAGTGACTCTGTGAATCACTGAAGGCTCCCTGGAATGCAAAAAGTGAAATGCTCTTCAGTTCCCTCGTTATGGCCTCTTGAATGGCCTGGACCGAGCCATGGTGCCCACCTTTGATGACCCTCTTCAGTCGGAGGAAGAGGAAGAAGTCTGAAAGAGCGACTTCTGGGCTATGGGGTGGCTGGGAAGCTGTGTGATGACATGTCTGGTCAGGAAGTCCATGGCAGCAAAGGCGATTTGGCTCAGCACATTGTTATAATGGACCCTCCATGGCCAAGCAATTGCTGGACGGATGAGGGCGACTCATTTTCAGAGAACAGTTCATTGTGAAGATGACAAGGCACCTTGAAAGGGGCTCACCTTAAACTCGATTTACACTCTGTAAAGGCTTGGAGATGACTGGCGACTGGTGTGCTGGTAGCTATGATCCCCTACAAGCCAACCAGTACATCTCCCTGCTTTGCCATGTTTTAGCGGGGGGAAAATCAGTCCTACTACTTCCCGAACAAACCCTGTATGTATATATTTTTCCTAAGATAAGTTACTTTCAATTTGATTCATTTTAAACTATGCACCTGTTAAGCATTTTTAAAGGATTTAATTTAATAAAAATTTTAAACATCATGACATTTCCAATACAAAATTTGGTACTTTTTTATAACGCAACTACCATGCTTTTAGGCATCTGCAAAAGAGAAACTAAATACACACTAAGACTCAATCACAGCATCAAAATTTCATACAGAATTTTAAAATATTAAAATTATTCTTGCCTGAGGATCAGAAGGATATATATTATCTACAAGTCTTCTATATCGAGGACGCAATGCAGAACAGCATCCACAACAATCTAAAAATGAAAAATATTTACAATAAAAAATTAAATTAAAAGGGGACAATTTAATTTAAATTTAGAAAAGTAATTATCAATAATATTTTATAAATAGTTACATTCATTAACTAATGTACATATTATATTAAAAATTAACAAAAAAGATAACTTTACTTACAATCAGGCACATCACATTGTTTGAACACAGAACTAAACCATTTAGGACGAACACAACAACTTGTGTTCTGAGGAACACTATCCATGTTGGAAGATCTGATAATTTTAGAATGAAAAAAAAGAAGCTCACTATTTCAAATCAATTTCATACACTTAAAACACATCCTCCTTAGACTCTCTTTTCTTCACATAACTTATGCAAAGAATATTTTTGAAGTACTGATTTCATGTATTCAAAAAGAGATCCATATACACTCTTCAAATGATTATCTTAATGCAATAAATTTGCCAAATTCCAAACAGCTCTCATCGAGTCAAAAAACCACAATGCTTCTCTTTGATTAGCAGAGGATATTTCATCATTTTTTTGTCTTGCAGTTAAAAATCTCATTTTGGACATAAACAAACAACTCAAACAATTCCACAGTAAGTAACGCAATGATTTTTCTTCAGTTCTAATAGATTTAAATTTCTGGCACGAAAAGTTTGCATCTTACAACCCAAAACAAAACAAAACGAAAATATTAATTTAAAAATTTTATAATGACAAACAAACTCTTGAATTCATTTGACCTTGTAATAAAGCAAGGACATAAACAAAAATGAGAACTAAAGAGATTTCATGTTATGGGAAGAGAGAAGGACACTCTGTTTGCTCCTGTGTTTGCATTCTGCAGTAGCAGTCAATTATTGATTGGTAAGGATTGGTTCATTTTGCTACTGGGTGTGAGAGGCATCTAAATCAATGTGTTTCCAGTCAGCAAATCACTACTAAAAATTTTTTAACAATTAAAACACAAAATGAAATTTATAAAAGTATAGAAAGAGAACTTTAATCTTTGCAGAAATTTAAATTTTTAAAGAAACACCAATTAAATCGGGAAAAATTAAATTTACATCTATTGGAATTTTAAAGAAAATCTTAATAAATTTCTACATTTTTATTTTTGTGCAATTTGCTGCTACACATAGATATTTTAAAATATGCATACCTATGCATAAAAAAATACAACTTCATTACAAAAAACACATAAAATTAAAGGAATTTCTTTTATTTTGGAAATATTTTCATAAAGACACAAATTTATTTATTTTCTCAGATACTCTTCCATATATAAGGAATATATAATTTTTTTTTTTTTTTTTTTTTTTTTTTTTTTTTAAGTACAGTAGACTTTAAAGTACCCCTTGTATTATGGTGAAGTAGTTGTTTGATTTATCACCAAGTTGTTGTTTCATTTATGGTACCCTGACTAATTGAATGTTACGGAAACACTATTGTGACATAATCGAATGCATGATTCTGGGAAATTTTGAATCATGGGATAGTGTAGCCGTTTTTGTGGTGTGTGTTAAAACTGTTTAGATGGATTTGAATGGGTTTTTAGGAAGAAAGGTTCAGATGGTCACTAGGTGAAGCGTTCGATCAGAAAGAGTAGCTGGTTTGAAAAAAGTCATTTGAGTATGATTTGATGTTTTGATTTTTACGTGGCTCTGGTGTATGAAGCGAACTCAAAAATCATGGTAAGTGAATATTTGCTTTTGGTAGTGCTTAAATGTATAACATGTTTTTCCTTTTTCATGTTATTTTATTGTTTGGTTTAAAATTTATTTTATTGAGATTATGTATTTTTTGTTTGCCTATATTGTAGACTTTGATGCTCCTTTGACTTTTTAAGTGAAATATATCGATGTGTACATGGACAAAGTAAAGGGAGTGCGCAATGCAAGTTTGTGCAATTATGAGATTTTTTTTAAGTGAAAATAGGTCGATGTGTACATGGATAAAGTTAAAAGAGTGCGCAATGCCATTTTTATGCAATTCGGGGATTTTTTTTTAAGTGAAAATAGGTCGATGTGTACAAAGTCAAAGGAGTGCGCAATGCCATTTTTGTGCAATTCGGGGTTTTTTTTTTAAAGTGAAAATAAGTCAATGTGTACATGGATACCAAGTTTGTGCAATTGTTTGAACTTGTTATTTTGGCTCTGTGTAGCAGCGGTTTTTGTTGCAAAAATCGCCGTTTCGCAAGCTAAAATAACAAGTGAAAGAATTGCACAAAAATCGGTATCCACGTACCGCCAAAAATTGCCAAGGGGTACCCTAAACTATACTTTTACCTTTTTTTTTTTTTTTTTTTTTTTTTTTAAAGTTCATGTGTTCATGTGAAATAATTCAATTCTTCAATACAAATACATAAAAATATGTACGAAAGCATACTTTCTAAAGCATAACATTAATTTTAGATTGCCACATTCATTTATCACACAATCTGCCACACTTTTGGCAAATCTACATAATTTGTTTCTTTGATTTGATTTCTAACTTGATGCAATATGAAACACTTTCTTTTTATCAAATGTCATGAAATACTTTCTTCTCATTAAATTCAGAAAGAGAATTAACCTTAATTTAATCAACTAATTGAAGGTGCATCAGTTCTAGTTCACACTGATGAGCATCAAGCTGTTGCTTCTTAAATATCATCTAATCTAAATCACACAAATACTTATGATTTACTACATACATTACATACAACTATATTTTGTTTGCATAAAAGAAAATCACCAGCTATGGTAAAAGATTATCTGCAGTAAAAATATGATTATAAAACCAAAAATAATGTTAAAAGATAAATAAAACCAAAAATGAAACTATAAACCATAACAAAACCAAAAATAAAATGTTATGAAATAGTTAAGCATGTTGTAAAATATTAACTATACAACAGATCATTCATATATATTATTTCTATAATTATATAACTTCCTTTATTTATGCAATGAAACATGAAGAAAAGTTGTAACATTAGAAAGGTATTTTTTGAGACCAGTAATATCAATTATATTATATGAAATCATCTTATTTTTTAATAATTAAGAATAGAAATTAAATATTAGGATAGGCAATATAGAAATTAATATTTAAAAGGATTAATTTAATAAATACACGTGAAACACATATTTCCTTACACATATTGTTTTAATTATGCATGTTACTTTTGTGATTTCCAGTATGAAAAATTAAACTTTTAATGAAATAAAAATTTGAAGTATAGCATAGATTTTGTTTTAAGAGAAAAGTTTGTTGAGCAGTTTTCTTTCAGTCACATCATAAAATCATACAAGTTTGAAGCAGGTCGCAGCTTACTGTACCCTGCCACAGCTTATTCTTAAACCATTTTCAGTTCCAGCAATCAGGAAGAGCTGAGTATAACTTTAATGTGATTTAGAGTATAACAATAAAAGAATAGAAGAGAAACATGCCAATGTGACAATCAAAATCACAATAAAAACCTTCATATATTAAAACAATCAATTGCTTTATTTTCTTCTTTCTAGTTATTTTGTTCTGATAAGGAAGGACCTCTAGCTGCCCTTGAAATCGATTGTTTTAATATATGTACACTAAATACAAGGTTGTTATTGCGATTTTGAACAATAAAAGTTTTATTAATAGATTATAATAAGAAGTTGCTTTATTAATTAATAATGATTTAAGCAATAAATGTTTATGAAAAATTTATCTTATTGTAAGGTACTTTTCTGTTACGTAACTGGCACTCATTTTGGCTTTTGTGAAAGAGAAGCCAGACACATGCTAAACCGTGCCATCTGGGCTACCATTATGTGTGTCAATAAACTATTCTTATAATTAAAAATTGTTTACAATTAAAAAAATTAGCCAAAATGCACAGCAGGTCATAATGGAAAAGTACCAGAGATAAAATGCTGATTAAAAATAAACTTTTTGGGGGTGGATGAGCATGGTATCTTAACTTTTTTAAAATACCAGAAAGACACATTGGTAGAGTAAAAAATAAGAAGGCTATTACTTTTAAAGGTAGCGATTAGGTTATTTATAATAATAAACCACTTATATTGGATATACAGTCAAAAGTTGTTAATCCGGACTTGTCGGGACTTCGGTGATTCCGGATTATAGATCATCAGTTTAAATCTGGTAAGATTGCATGCAGAAATTATAAAATTAAAAATATGAAACCATAATTTATGAAATAAAGAACAATTATGATCTAATGATCTAAAGGGTATCAAAATTTTTACAAAAAAAAAAAAAAAAAAAAAAAAAAAAAAAAAGGCTTAATATTTATTTGTTTACTTTATCAAACACTTCTTTCAATGTAAGTTTTTTAAGTTGCTTCGTTTTATGTGATAATACTTTCTTTTTAATTCTTTAAACAGACATAATTTCTTGTTCAGTTACAAAGTTCCGCTGTTCAAGTCCTATAATTGCTGTGTCAAGAATACCGACTAATTTGTCAATTGAAATTTTTTCGTTTTCAATAACCTCTGTGTCACTTTCTTCATTATCGAAAGTGAATTATAATGACGAGGAATTTGATTTAAATCATATCAAAGACGGAGTACATCGAGATGAAATACTACATTTAGTAAGGAATTATAAGCCAAATAAAATAAAAGGCTGATCTTTGGAATATGGTAACTGGTAGTTTGGCAACATTTTGGAGGCGATAAAGGTTACTACCTAGGACTTTCGTAATAATGTGAGAAGTACTCAGTTCCGATTACGCATTATTTTGTGTGAGGGAAATGAGAGATCGCGAGATATGTCATGTGACATTAATGGACAAATTATAGTTCTTTAATCGGAAAAGGGGCGAAATCTGGAAATTTTCTATTTAGCTTTATTCTGTGTTGTGTGAAACAGTGTTGGTTAATTTTTGGATCCCATGGCCCTAACTAAAGTGAATTCGAAATGGGTATTTAGTGGGATTGAAAGGGGTAGTAATAAGCATTTTTTTAAGGTTGTGCGAGATAGAAGTAAAGATGTTTTATTAATTAAGACACAATAACACGCCGAATAAATACTAATTCAGAAGTCTTTTACCGAACCATCATCTTCAGCTGCAAAACCGCAAATGAACAAGATAGGAAATAATGATTAGATAAGATAAGAAAGCCTGGACAAGAATAAGCAAGTGGCGCCATCTGTTGGCGAAACCAGAACTAAAACATAATTTCTCTAAAAGCCGAAGGCAAATTTGGATTGGAATTAGGATCGTTAACTAGAACAGAAAGATTTTTATGAATGTGAAATGCCTCTAGAAAATCCAGTTCTCCAATGGAAGATGTTTTTTGAATAATTTTGGCAGCAGAAAAATTGAAAGTGTGATTTTCGGACCAACAATGTTGAGCAACAGAAGACCTCTGTGTTTCCTTTTTTCTAACATATGCCTCATGATCTTTGACGCGAAATTTTAAGGCTCTCTTAGTTTGGCCAATGTAAATTAAACCACACTGGCAAGGAATCCTATAAATACCCCAGGAATTCATATCCGGAATGGGGTCCTTGAGTATAGAAGTTGGAATTTTATTGATGGGAGAAAAAACAACCCGAAAGATTTATTGATGGAAGAAAAAACAACCCTAATTTCTCTCACTCAACTCTGTTTGAAACAAACACATTTTGTTTTCCAAAATAAATATTACAAGCAAACTGAGGGATTAGCCATGGGAAGTCCCCTCAGTCCCATCCTGGCTGATATCTACATGCATTATTATGAATCAAAATTGTTTGAAACTTTAAACTTCCCGGCATGGTTCCGCTACGTAAACGATACTTTTACCCTGTTTGAAGGTAATAAAGATGATTTAAATAAAGT